TAAGCGGAACAAATACGCTTGCCCCAAATCCGAGTTAAGCAGTTAATTAGCGTCGATGATCAAAGGAAAAACCAGACTCACATCCTCACGAGTTCATGATGCTCATTACATACACAGGAAAAACACGATGCCATAAAAACAATTAACATTGGGAAAACGATTAACTACATTTTGTAATTATAAGCAATTAAAACGGTATGATTAAAAGAAGCCATTATAAAACCCATAATTCAAAACTGATTTTATATCTGTAAAGAAATACTTTAAAGGGGCCTAAGAATGTATTACTTTGAGTCAAGTACATGTTTTGAAACCTTCCGGAAAGACTTAATATAATATTTATAACATAAATTCTTATTTAACGAATAAAGAATAAATTCCCTCCATTACCGCATACCCAATTGATATTTAATTTTCTTTGTGTGTAAGCGATTTACAGAATTTTTTAACCTTAGCTGCAACCCATTTGCCATTTGCAGGCAGTCCATGTAGCCATGTAGCCATAGCTCAGCACTCTCACACACACACATGCAGGCAATTTGCTAATGTGTACGTGCAGGACTCGACTCCTGCCACAAAGAAATTAAGCTGGGTGGTTCTGGGTGGCAAAAGGGGTTACGAGGGGGTTGCGATTGGCAAGGACGCAGGCCACAATGCGATAAGAGAGACCATAAAGCAGACGAAAACGGAATGCACAACAAGGCTGATAAGTGGGCGTGGGCCGGTGAATAAAAGAGTAAAGTGAGTAAAGTTTGCAGCGGATTCATAAGTTTTCCTCTTCGTTTTCGTACTTTGCGTTCCTTATATTTTTTTTGGTTGTTTTACTTCTTTTTTTTTGAAAACAGAGAAATTGGTATGTCTAGTTCGAGTCATATTTTCTTCAGACCAAGAGCTGTGTCACTCCTGGGAAATTTTCATCGCAAGGAAGGCAAAGAAAATTGCTGGTTTCAGACATTTCAGCTGCTGGAGTTCCCTCGCTGTTTTTCGGTTTTCTGGCATGCAATATGCAAATCTCTTTAGCCGGGTAACCGTGGGAATGGTCCTGGAAATTGCAATGCTAATGAAAGCCAAACGAAACGAACTCAACTACAGACCAACTGAAGTCTTCTTCAGCCTCCACCTGAACTAAACTGAACTGAACTCTTGGCTAAGCTCCGACTGAAAGCACCTCCAATGTCGGACCACCTAAATAGGTGCTAATGCTGGGGCCAAATAGCCAGACAGCCGAATACTTATGTCGTTAACTTTTACAGCTGTTTTTATAACTTCTCGGGCCATGATGTCCCTGCTGACACAAACACACACACAGCTACCACACACCCATCATCACAGATCCTATTTAGCATCCTGGAAAGTTTCGCCTGCGTGCTGGCAATTTATGCAACAGTTTGACAACATAAAAGTTTATTACATAACTTGCACTATACTCGTACTCGTACATGGCGCACGGGGGTCAAACGGATGATGCTGAGACCAGACATTATCCATCTAGTGCCCATAAAAATGGATCTCTAAACCACTGACCAGCGGGTGAGAAACTTCAGCTACACGTAAAGCTGTAATTTCTGCCACATTCTGATTTAGTTTTTTAGTCTCTTTGAAGCAAAGCGAACAAGAGGGAGACAGAGGTGTGTCTATATGGGAGATATATAGTATCTGCAGCACTAAGTGCCGCTTATACAAAATTATGCATATCAAGTTTATGGCTGGCAGCTATTTCACACAACCATTCGTACAAAAACCCAACAGATGAGATGTTTACACATAGTAGAGCTAAGGGAGCTGCGTTTTGCATATATTACGCATTGTATGTGATCCAGAGCTAAAAGTCTTAGCCCGGAGCCTCAGCTTATTCTCTATTTTATTCAGATTTTTATTTGGATTTTATTTTATGCTGCAACGACACAATTTCCCAGCGCTCAAATTGCAAAGTGCACAATGCAAAGATTTATTTTGTGCTGACAAACAGAGCATCATTTGTTGGTAATCGATGGATAAGAGCATCTGACTTTCAGACTTTCAGACTATAAAGCACTGAGTGGCTGTTTGTCTGGAATGGTTTGTGCACATATATACTCGCATAAAGAGTTGGGGGAGATAGAAACTAGCTATGAATGACTGAGGATTATTGCTTAGTTGACAGCCTGGCGGAAATGCCGGCAAATCAGGCGAATTCCTTGCGATCTAAGCTAATTTATTATCATTTTTATGACTAATGCAAAGCTTACAAAACGGATCTAAATTGGACCGGGAAATGGAAATGTATACCATGCATAAATCATAACAGAATTCTATGGCACATCTTTCTGCCCATTTCCATTTCCATTCCCATTTTCCAAGCCCAGTCGTGTGCCTGTGTGTGTGTGTATCTTTCGCCTTTTGTGCTTGATTAACGTCAACTGTTTATGGTTATTTATTTTCTGCTGCATACTTTGAGGCCATTTCCTTTTTGGCGGGGATTACTTCCGCCTTTTCTGCCAGATAACCAAGCAAATTACCTTGGGATACACAAAATATGATTTCATTTATTTATACTCGCCTGTATTGGTAAGGTTTCCCTGAAGCTGTTTGCCCAAAATCTTATGCTGAAAACGCTTTTCCCTCTCCAATCACAATTTGTCTTGAACTTTTTGGCAAGAAAACTCTGACTTTTGCCAGAAACTTTTCAATTAAAAAAGCAAAAGCGGAGAGTTGCCCGAAATTGCAGCCATGTGCTAAAAATTCAGTGTCACAGTGTGAAGAATTTGAATTCCCACTTAACTGCAGACAATTTGGTTATATAAACTTTTCAAATAATTTATTCCATTTTGCGAATACTTGAAACGCCAGAAGTTGTTGGAAATAAAAAACGTAAAATTTATAGCAAGAAAATGAAAATGTGCGATTAGACGTTATAAAAACTAAGTATATAAAATGGCAGCCAAAGGATATTTTCAGGACATCAAAGTGAAATTTATGCAGAAACAAAAGCTCAGGCTGCAAATTGTTCGTTTGTTTGTGTGGGTGACACGCACGAGGAATACAAATACAAGGACACATGTGGATTCCTTTTATTTTGTTTTTTGGAAACTGCTTAAAATTCTGCGTATGTGGCGCCTGCCAAAAATTTCAAATGCCTCATTCGTGAATTTTTTCTCCTTTTCTCTATGGAAAGTTTTGCGATTCGCAATAATTTTGCTTGAAGGCCGCTAGACGAAGAGTGTGTGTGTGCCTCAACACTCACACTTGCCTAGCAGACTATTAGCACATACACACACAAACACAAAGGGGAAGAGGGTCTCAACAATGGCCAAGGAAAAAAACACGGGAAAAGGAAAAGGGGAAGGAAACGCAGAGAAATAAAACCAAAATGGCAAACAAAACAAACACAGCACAACACACAAAACGAAATACCAAAAAAATAATAAAAAGGAAGTCAAGTTTTGCAAAGCCGTCAAAAAAAATACCCTTTTTATAAAAGATCTATCACAGAGAAGTTTTCGTATCATCTTATCATTTATCATATAATATTCGTCTTTTAATATCATATAAGCCTTTTCTTAAGATAGTATCTTTAAAATATTAAAAAAAAACTTGGAAGTGATGTTAATCTATAATACTCCATTAGGTTACCTTAATCCCTGACTTTCAAACTTTCAACCAACATCATAATGCCCCTAGCAAGAGTATAGAAAAGAACTAGTCCAAAACGAAGAAAAGCTGGAGAGAAAGCAAAGCGCCTGGCAAATAATACGGGCAAATGGGCGAAGAAAAAAAAAAGCGACGACGTTGCGTCTGTGACTAACAGTCATCGATGAGAGGGTGGATCGGGTGGTAGGGATGGTCTTCGGGTGGATTTTCTTGTAGTTTGAATGGTAAGGGGGACTTTGGGTGGTGCGTGTTGGCAGACCAAATGAAAGCAGCTTAGCGCTTACTTCATAGTTTACGCGCAGCCAAACGACAACAATACTGCCAAATGCTATTGATTTTCCTATGCTAGCTGCTACTGGTATCTTTCATTTTGGGCCTCCGCCTCCCGGATCGGCTCCGATATCCGGAAAGGTGCGTGCTAAAGACCCGAAGAAGAAGGGAGCCATAGATAGCCCAGCTCAGCCGGGTCAGATCTAGGAAGACGGGAACACACAGGCTACTACAAATCGGATTTGCGTGAGTAATTGGCACGTCGTATTCTCTTTTTCGGGCCAGAAAACGTAGAGCGGAAAAAAACAAACAACACGACCGGAAGTTGTTGGTGTGAAACCTCAGCAACGACGAGCTGTGAGGAAAGAAAAAAAAAAGTTGGGCAAATAAAAGCGCAATTGCGTTATATATGCCACAGAAAACACCGAAAAAACTGCCTTTTTTCTTGGGCATTTCAATGGTTGGTTTTTCACAATGCAAAACAGCTCTCAAAAGTATCTATCATCCATTTTGTGGTTTCTGATTTCCATCAAATTAGATGGAATCAGCTTTAATCAAATATCAATTATCCAATTTGGCCTGTAATTTACCTTAATTACTTGCTTGGGGGTTCGGTTAAATTTAAGTCTAATTATACATTTTTGTAGCATACTTTTATGAATATGATTATCGAAATTGGTAAATTTGATAATTTATCTTAATATTATATCTAATTATATATTAATTCCTTCAAGAACAAACTTTTGGTTTGTTAGAAATGAAAGGGTAAATACAATATGGGTATAGTAATAGATTTTTCAAGGGATTACCCCATCAAAATATCTAATCAAATGAGAAGCACCTAACATCAGCTACTATTAAGCTGAAATTGATGTGTTTTTCTCCGTGCATTCCGCACACTTGTGCCTCCAAGCATTGGCAAATGTCAGCAGTCAGCTTAAGGCGTATTAAGTAGGAGACAGACAGGAAGAGTGGCAAACTGGGAGGCGGAGCTGGAGACGGATTCAAGACTCAGACGGGGAATCCGAGTCGTTGGGAAGCGGAGACAGTGAATGAATGGGACTTGCTGGATGGCTGCCGTGAAGCCATTTGGGACTTACCTCATCGATAAACTCGAAATCGCCGCCCGTCTCGCCGACGTACTTCTTCTTGTTTCTGGCCTCCGAGCTGCCAATCAGGCTGGATGACATCAACACCAGCGCCAGACAAGCGCTGGCAATCAGCGGCGAGTGCTTCATAGCTGTCGTCCGGGAACAGGAACAGGAGATGACAGTGGTGGCTACGGAGGAAGTGCTTCAAGCGTTGCGCCCTGTTGACGGCTTTCCGCTCTCGCTAGACGCTAATCGCTGGTGTTATGTCCTGTGGAAAACTACGGACGCCTTCTGGTTTACGCACTCACGCACACTCACTGGCAGTATCCACGCACAACACACAATCACACAGCAACTATGCTAAGCTATGAATGACAATGAGTTGGGTTTTTCGATCCTGTCTCTGTTTCTGTTTTCTGATTATGTTTCTGTTTTTGCCCTTGCAATCACAGGCGCCTCCGCGAATGAAGTGCAGCCTGGACACGAAACACTGAAGAACTGAAGGCGACGCGGCCGAAACGTAAACTGAGCGTCTACGAGTCGAGCTTCTGAGTGGCAGCCACCGTGATGGGCAGTATTGGAATTTTGCGACACAAGTTCCGAGGGCTAAGAGTGCGTCAGGTTGCGCTAAGAGAGTAACTGGAACGCCTTGGACAGTGGCAGGGTCGTCAACATACATAAAAAGTAATAACATAAAATAATTTGATTTTGTAAATCCAAAAGATCCTATCTAATTGGGTCTTGTTTTTTTGTATAAGTCTTCAAGACACTTTATATTTAGAACAGTAATGAAGTAATTGCAGTTTTAAAAAATTGATTCCATTACCTCTCATCTCCAATCATTCGCTCAGTGTACCTCACTGCGTATGCGCAATACATCCAAGACATCTCTCTCGCTTCGACATGGCCACCATCCCCTTACCGTTGGAGCAACAACTGCCAGGCCCTTCCAGAATGCCACCACCAACAAAACAGACAGCGACTGGCAATTGTTTAAAATCGATTTTCCGGATTCTCTTTGGGCCATCCATTGCCAGAGCTTTGGAATGCAGACTCGGAATTCTCTTAAACTATAATTGCTGGAGCCAAGGCAGCGGGTCGTGAACCTGCCACTGGCGCCCAATGCGACTTCGCATCCCAAATGGACTTCAGAGTTTTTCCTTTCCCTTCTTGCTAGTGGCGCTTGGCTGTTGATTTTTATGTATTGGCGCTTGGCACACTTGGACCAGTCCAACGCGGCTGCTGTTGGCCGGGAAACCCCAAAACCATTTAACGCGTCAGCATCAGAGCGTCTCTAAGGCTGGCCAACGCTGGCGAGGGGCGTCCTATAGTTGGAGTCCCAGCCACGTTGTAGCCGGACCGAGGACCCGTAGGCTCTGTCAGTTTCAAATTAATAGCCACGCACACACACACTCACTCAGCGCCGCTGTGGGGTGTGCATTTATTATGTGAGTGAGCCTGTGCTTGCCTACTTTCGGCCTCGTCCTCGTCGTCGACGTCGTCATCGCGCTGCTTCTCTATTATAATGGCATCATTGACTTGTGCTTTGATGGCTGCTTTGGCCCGGACAGGGCTTCGGTTGGCCCCATCCCTCTCGTGTGTGTTGGTATGTGAGCTGGAGTCCGCCTCCACTTGATCCCCATTTCGGCACGGACGGCTGGCGCCGGTTGCTGCCTTTTTTGAATACTCATCTCACACTTCCTGCTGCTGCTACTGCTGCTGCTGATGCCGCCTTCAGGTCCGCCTTTTTGCACTAGGGGCGCGTTACTTTACCGGAATTTGTTGGTGGCCATGGGCCCTTAAACTCTACTTCGCTGGGCCCCGTCAGAGTCCCAGTCACAGGCGGCGGTTCTCTTGTAAAACTTTACATTTTATTGGATTTCCAAATGATTTTCAATCAACAAGTCCATGTTATGCAATATGTAGTATGTAGTATACAGTTATTGTTATTGTTACGCAGGCATTGCAATTGCTAATCAAATTGATTTTCACACATTTGTTCAATGACTCGATAAAATGGCTTTCAACTACACTCTACTAGCAGGACCTGTGCTTCATACTAAACGTCACGTTTTAAAAGCTCAAGATTGTACAATAGATACATGACATTCGCTTTTAAAGTGACTGCACAAAGCACATATTTTGATTATAAACACAAAACAAAAACTGTATGGTAATGTGTGCGGATTAATAATTATTTTTTGGTTAGTTACAAGTCTTAAACGCTTTCTAAACGAATGGAAATGCCTGGAAATGATTGTTAGTTTCGGCTGGGAAGAATCGAACCTTAAACGTAAAATATATAATATATGTATTTGCGACGTGCAGCAGCTGCTCCTTTTGTTCACTGGGCGCCTAATGTTCCTAGTTCGTAATTTTCTCTAAATCCTACATAAAAATATATATATATCTTGTATAAAAACGTGAATACTATTAGCTGTGCTGCTGCCGACACTATTTTTTTTGGCCGCATTCATGTTATGGCTAATAAAAAATTGCTCTTATGACAGAGATTCCGTTTACGTTTTACAAATGCACTTTGAGAGATTCCATGCGGCTCACAATACGGCGGCGCAATTCAGCGTATCTGCAGAAGAGTAATTTATTTAATGTAATGTTTAAAATTTATTTAACTAATTTTTTAATATACCTTTCCTTTATTTTGGCGATCTCACGGGCCACTTCCTGGTCGTAACGCTCTAGAATGGCGCGGCACTCGGGTAGCGATAGATTCAAAAATTGAGCAACTTCATTACTAAAATAAGTAAAAAGGAAACATAAGTACGGGTTTGATTAAAGAATTACGAATGACTTGCCTGATTTCATCAGTTTTGCGCGAGTCCACTAAAAACATACGAGCCACATCCTCATGAGGGCCCAAAGTGACGCGAGTTATCAAGGGATACTCGTCATCCTTTAGACGCTTCTGCTCACCATTGTCACGTACAATGAAGAGAGAAAAGTTGCCCGGCGAACTGTCTACCTTATATTTTTCCAGCACCAAATTGATAACTTCCGTGGTGGTCACCATCGACGAAACCCACACAGACATTTGAGAACCGAAGGGTGGCGTGAAGAACGACGTCTCCCGATTGTAGTAGTGACCATTGATAGAGCACCGACGTTTAAGCTTGGTACGAGAGCTGTTAATGAAAGCATTTTAATTACAAAACAGATCTTGATATCAAAGCTATAGTATAACTCACCGACGATTACCACTGCGTCGTTTAATGGCTGCAGCTCCAGTGCGTGGGGGCCTTCTCAGAACCACACCATCTTCCGTTACATGCAAACCAGCCGATCCATCTGCTTCTGGACCTCCAACTCCCTCGCTCGCTGTATACAGCTCCTCGGTTTGCGTCAGCTCATCGCCGGCAGCTGCTCCACTGGTTATAGATGGAGCATCTGCACGGCTTGACTCACCCTCGCTGCCGGCAGCGACATTCTCTTTGGGATAACAATCCATCTGGATTTGAATGTACCGGGCCGGGACATCACTGCGTCTTATAGTGGCTAAGCGTTGGGGACGCAGAGTTGTCTCATCGTCGTCATCACTGTCGGAATAAACAAAGCAGCTGGGTCCCGACTTGGAGCGGTTGATCCCTTTCTCGAACAGCTGCCGTCCCTGCTGATATGGCTTTTTCTGATCTCTGCTGGTAACTGTAGACGCGGATGCTGATCCGCTCTTCTGCAAGGCGTACTGACGCTGTGTGGAGCGGGGTGAGGCTACACTACTGCGCAGATTCATGGTGTCGTTGATTAAAGTGGGATCTATGGAGCGCAATGCATGCTCACAATTAAAGCTTTTGCTCATCACCGAATTCTCGCCGTAGAGCTTTAGGGAATCATGAATACGAGAGGGATCAATTGGCTGGTTACGCTTTAGAGTGCCATCGTTGGGTTCCTTAAATGAGTTGGCGCCGTTTACATAGTCCTGATGGACACTTCTTTTAAAGTCCTCGAAATCCATGGGCTTTAAGGTAGTATCATCGCAAGTCTCATAGTTATCCAGAGATGTCTCGGTCGTGGACACTGTTGTGGTATTCTGCGTATTGGTATTGGCGGTCAACGAGCCAGTGGCTGTCATAAAGTTATCCGTGCTGCTGCTGTTGGTTGTGGCCGATTGAGTGGAGCTCGATTCAGTGGTGGTCGAGGTTTCAGTTGATGTTTTGCTTGGCGAACTGTCGCTGGATGAATGTGACGACGGCAGTTTAACCGGCATTGTTTCGTAGATGCGATCCTTGTCATTGTGACGTCTTTCCACCTGCAGCAGATCATCAATGTCGTCCCAGTCCAGCTTTTCTAGGTGATCCAGTTTGGAAGGCAATGTGCTGGAAACACAACTTGTGCTCGCCGTTGGAGCCTCAACCAAAGTGCCGGAGGAATCAGTGGTGGTCGTATCATCATCGTCATTGGACACCTTACCATTGGTTACATCCTTGCTGTTAGCTGTGGTGTTGGCCGAGGCATCTTCTGGGGTTGTCGGCAGCTCGGAAATCTCGTTTAAGCTGCAGGAGTCGAAGGTCATGCTCTCAGAAAGTGATACATCCGTGGAAAGCTGATCCACCTCGCCGGTAGTCGTTGAAGGCGGACCTACTGATTCGCTAGCATCATTTTCCTTGTCCGAACTGCTTTCCTATAGTTGGAATTTATTTCAATTAAATTATTTATAATAAATTATAAATTTAGACTACATTGGCTGCCTTGGACACGCGACAGGAGTTTCTCTTCCGCACTAATATCCGCTGATCGTCATCCTCCTTGAGATGAATCATTCCCTGCACGCCCCAATAAACTCTCAGTGCTCCTTCCAGCACTAAGCGGTTGTTGACCTCTCTACTGCGTATCTCCAGGCTATTGTTGTCGTAGAATTGGTTGTAGACCTGCCCATAAAAAAGGAATTCAATGAGTCATAGATATTAGGTTGCCTGAGTAGCGAGTGCTGCACCTTCAGCTTGGACTCTAGGTGATCTCGTGGCAGTGTGGGGCCATTGGACTGAGCTCCAGCTGGTTTTTGAGCTCCCTTTAACCCGTAACTCTTGTGGGATTCTACGCGGGTACCATGGCCAAACAACTGGGGTCCAAATAGGGCTCCATAGCACGGGACATGGCAGTAGGGTACACTTTTGTGCTACAATAGATCAGAAGATAAAGATAAGATCACATGATCGACTGACAAGTGATTCTCATACCTCAGCATGCTGGCCAGGATTTAAACGTTTGCCACACTCCTCGCAGCGCAAACATTCCGGATGCCAATCGTAGCCAAGCGATTGTTTACGTTCCGCTGTACGGGTCATAAATAAATATAATTTACAAGTTATTTACGGAACACTTTGTGTTTGTGTGAGCGTGGGTGCTTGTATTACCGAAGTAAACGGGTTTGCCGCACTTGTGGCACTTCCACATTCTGGACTCCAAACAGGTCGTGTTAATATTTCCTCCGAGAATGGGCGTGTTTCTCTCCTCCTCCTTTGTTGTTTTCGTTTTTTTTTTGTTTGGAAACTTGTGACGTAAAGACGAGTTTTATGCAAATGAGGCGATTTAAAGCGGACACGAAACGCAAATAGAACGTAAGACAAAGGGTAAACACATGAGGGGGCGTGAGAGACTCTGATCGGTCAATCGGTCAGCTGCGGTGGAAATCGTGTGAAACTCATAGTTTTATAAATGAAACTGACACTGGGCACACCCACACTTCGTGCACTGGGCAGGTGCATCGGGTTTCGTTGCGTTCTTAAATAGATAATTGCAGTAAAACCAAAACAGCACCAGCAGAAAGAGAACAGAACAATGAAATGAAAAATGGGAGTTGCCCAACACTTACGTGGTATTCTGATAGGAGAGTACGGTCACCCCAATTTTGGCGATGTTGTGAATTCAACTATTTTTAAAGCTAAAGTTAGCCAGGGAATTAAAATGCAGATGTCCGTTTGGCTTAAACCCATTAGTAGTTTTTTCTATCTTCGTAACTGCAAGAACCCGTTTAGAAAATGTAAAACGTTATGGATTTCGTTTATTAAGTAAAAAACGAATTGATTTTCATTCTATGTTGTAGCTATTTTCGACACTTGGTGAAAATCACAACTGGCAACGCTGTAGGTTATAATTATTTGTATGTAATTAAATAAAAAAAATAACGATGTTTTTAATAAAAGCAGGACTCATTAAACCTTTTACAACGAGAGTATACTATTTAAGTCTCTCTTCAATGCATAAAAATTATAAAAAGTCAAAACGAATTATCCCGCCAAAGTGTGAGACCATTTGGAACAGCTAGATTTATCATCGCGTCAGATGTGGGCACACCATTTGAGTAGAAAGTGAGACGTTTTAATTTGTTGTCTCTGCGCGCTGTGTAATTTCGGTTAATTTGTCCCCGAATCGCGTTAATCGGCTAATTCGCTTATTAGGGCAAGTGCTTTACGTGTGTGGCCGTCGATTGTCGAGGATGCGAGGCGTCCCAAAACTGCCGACTGCCCGCAATTAGGTTTATCAAGAGCCGCCCTCGAAAATCTCGAATCGAAATATTCAGCCAGGAAAGCAAAGCAACAGGCCAAAAAAAAATTTACAGGCCTCAATTAGCGCAGCGAAATAGCCAACAGTGCAAGTGCTGCGTGCGTGTTTCAGTGTTTCGTGTTCTTGGTCAAAATGCGCGCCACCATAGAGTTCGAGGAGTGCCTGAAGGATTCTCCCAAGTTTAGGTGGATAAAAACTACAGCCCCGACCCCTTTAAACAGACACCTCCCCGTTAAGCACTGAGATTTGCATTGTTCCATGTAGCGTGACTGGTTACTATCAAAAACCAGATACAGAGCCCACCACCTCCACCTCTTTCTCCTTCTCCGCCACCTGAAAACGCGGCTTAATCATCCATCCATCGAACAAACTTTGTCCCGTCAGCACTGTGGAATGTAGAAATGTCCCTCCCCCTTACTTCCGCAGCTAATTATCGATGCTCTCGTCTCCAATGTTTGCCGCTGATTGATAAGATTTCACCCAAATTGCTGCTTCTCAGCTAATCGCGTCCAAAAGACAAAGCTTTCCCTCGTAAACGGTACACCAAAGCAGCAATAACTTGTTTCCCCAGCAGCCCAATCCCCAATTTTAGCACCTGCATCAGCTCCAATAAAAAAAAGAAAACCGGAAATTAATGCTATCTTGGGGGTCTAAGGCTTAGAATAATCTTCCAGTTCAGTTGCTCGCCCATCTTGACCTTGGTGAATCGAAACTTTGTAGACCTTTGTCTAATTAAAATATACTACAATCTATTCAAGTGAATCATCCTATGTAAACTGTTGTTCCATGTAAATAATAGTTAATGGAAATCGTGTAATTGAGTAATTATTGCAACTTACTGATTATTCATGCCTTTAAAGGAAATTGTTTCATTTGAAATTATGGTTCATTTGTAAAACTTCTATAATAAATCTTCGTTAAACTTGGCAGAAGTACATAAAATAGTAAAAGCAACACTAAACTACTAAGAACTTATGTTAAAGCTAAGGTATTTTATGAATTGTACCATTTCTGTATGTATGTCCATTTCATTTCGCCTAACTTCCAGATTTTTCTAGTTTTCTGCGATAGTGGATAAACTGTCGAGTTTAATATAATTATTATCGAAAACCGTAACTGCGCACTCGGCTCAAAAATGGTTATATGGCAAGCCAACTACTACATAATATAGATTTTTAATTATTTTTGTTCATGCTGTAGAGGACTTTCTAAGATAAAAGCTTTCTTATTAAAACACCGATAGATATGAAACCAGTAAGATCACGGGGCAGTCTCAGAATTTTCTCCCGGCAATGCATTTTTTATTTGAAATAATAATGGTGAAAGAGTACATACATACATATAAACAAGAAATATATACAATGTTAAACAAAAGCAGTGGACGACAAATCGATGGATGACACAGGCGAGAAAAACCCGAACATGGCGCAACAGAGTGATAAACAAAAACTTGTCCCCAGACGGGGTCTTCTCTATTTTGTGGCGACTCGTCTTCAATTGGAAGAGCAAACAGCGCTTTAATAAGTCCGCATAAATTAAAAGTGTCAACATAAACAGAGGCAGAGTGAGAAACAGGGAGTCCGACCGCTGCCCCCGCGATAACTTCTTTGATTAAGCTTACAGATTATATTTACCCTGCTCAGTCAGTCAAAGGCAATTTTAATCACCAGCTTACCCATGCTGATGCCCATCTTTTGTTTACTTCTCGACTGGATTGTGCTAACGGTTTCAATTTGTTTTTCTTCTTTTTTTCCAGACAATTTGTGTCCAAGGAGGAGACCGACATCGAGCACTTGGAGCAGAGGCTGGAGAAAATCATAAAGCTGTGCAATGTGGCCGTGGACTCGGGCAAGGAGTATGTCAAGAACCAAAGGTAAACAACTTACTGCGCAATGTACCATCCTCATACATATTCATTGGCATCGATTCACCCTCTTCTTCTTCATTTTTCTTCATTCTTTTGTTTTTCCCAGCGCCTTTGCCATGTCCTTGTGGGATCTGCAGCAGCACTTTCTCGACAACAAAAACGCTCACAATGCGTTGGGCAAGCTGATTCACTGCTTCCAGGTGAGCTTCACAATGATAGTTTCATCTGCTATATAAACTGAATGTCCTGATGAATGTTTCTCAGGAGATGAATAAGTTCCACACCATCCTGTTAGATCAGGCTAGTCGAACGGTGCTGAAAAATCTCAGTGTGTTCGTTAAGGACGACATCAACCAAGTGAAGGACTACAAGGGGCATTTTCTCAAGGTCTCCGAGGGCTATGACAATGCACTGATTAAAAACGCTCAGGTGGCTTGGCTTTAAGTCAGCAAGTTCAGATTACAGTAGTTTTTACATTAATTCCATAATTACAGGCTAGCAAAAACCGACCGCAGGAGATGCAGGAGGCTGCCAATATCCTTTCCGCCTCGAAGTCGTGCTTCCAACACACCGCTCTGGATTATGTCAACTATATAACGCTGGCGCAGGCTCGAAAGGTCCCCTCAATACTGTCAACGGTAAGAAAAGGCCAAGATGCCGACAGAAATATTTCTTATCGCTATTTAAATGCCATGAATGGAGTGCCCCACACCACTAAGTAAATAGGTTTCTGCGATTTATTTTTGTTATGACGTCACCGTTGCGATATCAGTGTGAGCTCGTATGTGTTTCATATCTAAACCCATTGATCAGCATGTTGAGTCAGTTGTACACTGGCCAATTGGTTCAGTTGTCTATTGGGAGTGCACGGAGTTGGATTGTCGCTGTCAGAGAACACTGAAGAACAATAGCAGCTATTCTTTACATTTAGCACGTTTTCATGGTGTTCTCCCCTGCTCTTTTTTCGGCAGCTGTTGGATTACTATCAAGCGTGCGTGACCTACTACCACCAGGGCTTCGACCTGTGCAACGACTTTGACGAGTTCTTCAAGAATATCAGCGAGGATTTGAATGCCCTGCGTGGCGACTACCAGCAACTGGAAAAGGCCATGCAGAATCGTCACATGAGCGTCAATCGTTACTGCGACTCGAACACCAATAGCACCTCAAACAAGATCGAGGGCTATCTTTTTAAAAAGAAGTCCAAGGGCTTCAAGACCTGGTGTCGGAGATGGTTCTACCTCAGCGACAACCAGCTCGTCTACAGGTGGGTGTACGCTTAATTACTGCTACCCATTTTGTCCATCCAGAAATGCCATCCCATCTGCTTGCTTAGTTAATAAATCGTCTTCTTTTCGTTTGCAACTTTTGATTTTTGTGATGTTTTTGTTGTGTGGTGTAATGTGATGTGTTGTGGCCGTACGCTGAAGTGATTTGGATTCGAATTGCAGAAAACGCAGCAACGAAGACTCGTTCTCGGTCATGGAGGAGGATCTACGCATCTGCAGCGTGCGTCCGGTGAACGAGGGCGACCGCCGTTTCTGTTTCGAAGTCATCTCACCGACGAAGTAAGTATTTCATATTTGATTTATTAACAAATCAGAAGTTTTAATGTTGTTCATTTTTTCCTAGATCCCATATCCTGCAGGCTGATTCCGCCGATATGCTTTCCTTGTGGATTTCCGCGCTCCAGCATAGCATTGGTGCCGCCATTCAGCATGATTCCACTCACAACACACGCCCACAATCGACGAACACACCCAACAACGCTCTGCCCGCAAAGCGTAGAATGTATGTTTGAATCATCCAGGAAATTCCGATTGTTTTATAACGCCATCAATTTGTTTCTCTTCCGCAGCCACTGGGAAGAGTTCCTAAAGATACCGGGCAACGCTTATTGCTGCGACTGTAGGAGCCCCGAACCGCGATGGGCTTCCATTAATCTGGGCATTACGCTGTGCATCGAGTGCTCTGGTGTTCATCGGAGCCTGGGCGTCCACTATAGCAAGGTGCGTTCCCTGACCTTAGACGCCTGGGAAACCGAAAACGTAAAAGTGATGATGGAGCTCGGTAACGAGGTTGTTAACCGCATCTATGAGGCACGCATCGGCGATGACTGTGGACTGCAAAAACCAACCGAACAGTGCGAGATCGGGGTGCGCGAGTCTTGGATCAAGGCCAAGTATGTGGAACGGCGATTCGTTTGCGGCATGCCCAAGCCACAGGAGCTGCTGGCCAGCGAGACGGCCGAAGTCCTCAGTATAGACAGTGGCGGCGTGGTGGAGGACGTAGAAAGTGGCGGCAGTGGAATTGCTAAGCGAGCCACACTATCGCTGGGCGGAACTCGTAAGTGGGCGGTAAAGAAGCTACGACGGAGGCAAAAGCAGCGCCCGCTGCCAAAAACCTTGAGCGATGATCCGAGCATCTATAACACAGCCAAGACGGGCGACGAGTTGGACGATGACGATGATGATGAATCCATCAACATTCCTTCGATGTCACTGAGTATCTCACGAGACGATTTACTGGTGATTGGCGATGACCTAGCCCTAGACAGATTAGAGACTCCTGGCATTCTAGGCAGTGATCAAGAGAGCACCGATGGCGAGTCGGATCCGGAGACGCCGGAGGAACTGCCCTTCTCCCAGCTAGATGCCAATCAGTTATTGTACATGGCATCGGTGGTTCACAATCTGCCCGTGATGTGTATGGCTTTTGCTTTGGGTGCCGACAAGGTTTGGAAGAATCCTCAGGACCGGCAGCGATCATTCCTACACCAAGCCGTGATCTCTGGCTCCGTAATGGCCTGCGAGTTCTTGCTGTTAAACGGAGTCGCTATCGATGCTGTTGACGAATTGGGCTACAGCGCTCTTCACATATCCACAGCCAAGGGTCATATCGCCCAGGTTTATCTGCTGCTGAAGCATAAAGCTGCATACGACTTGGCCTCCAGTGATGGAAAGAAAGCACTAGATATTGCGGTGGATCAGGAAAATGCCGACATAGTAACGCTGTAAGTATAACAACCAAGCACCAATCTAGTGAGACCTAAATATGCTTTTCCAGACTTCGGTTGACGCAATTAAATGACGAGATCGGCCCTAACGACGAATACAACGGGGAAGATGAAACGTATAAGAACGTGATGAAGGACTTCTCCAAGTTACCCGCAAGTCAAACTCGGGTTTTGCGCCAGCGCCATGACTCAAATACACTGGAATCGCAGCGCAGCTCGCTGACAAACTCGGACTAGCAGTGGCAGATCGGAGGTCGCAAGAGTTAGTAACTTACTCGTTATTAAGGATATTGTTCCGATTAGTAGGCTAGGGTTATATTGGATTGTTATTGGCTTTATATCGCATTAACCAGGAATGTTAAATGGTTTCGATTTCTAAGGAAGTCGGTACGGGCTTGTTTCCCTAGGTAATCTCATTTGAAAAGCGCTTCCGATTATACAAGAAAATATTATTATTCATTGCATTTTGCATTCGAATGTCGGTTATGACCTTTCGTTTTGTCTTAGGCGCATTTTGAGAACCGTTTTTTGGCGTTTAGCTTAAGTTTAAAGTATTCGTAGATGAGTTGAGTTTATTAAAAATACGTGTATTTACCTATAAAATTGTACATCGTCTTATGGGGTATTTATTAAACGATATTGTAAAATGTATGTCTAGCTATATTGTGTCCTGTTACAGAGGTGTTCCAAATGTTCCGATTTGTATTTGTTTGCTAAAATGTTTACCGCTGCATGTTTTCTAAATGTTTTAATATTAACATGATGATATTTGGTGCCAACTGTTGTTAGCACTCTAAGTTCGCGAATAAAGTTGTATAATATTCCGAGCAATGTTGATCTTTGTAGGTGTAGTAGCATAAACGGATTCATCATTAGGTTCTACGACGAGACAGCTTGAAACTTGATTTCGTTGATCTCAGGCTCAGATATGTAGTCTGCGTATTTGTTCTTGACTTTGTGCATGGTTGTCACATGACGTTGGACAGCGCTTCGATCGTTGAACTGTCGCCCGCACTGTTTGCAGGAGAACATGACACCGGCATGGGTGACAAGGTGGCGGCTCAGGCCTGAAACATGATTAAAGCTGCGCGCGCACAAGTGACACTTGTGCGTCCGAGAGTTGCCCATGTGCACCCGACCGATGTGCTGCTGCAGATTGGACTTCTGAGCAAAGCAACTCGAACATTGTGGGCATTGATGGCGCTTGGCTCCCGTGTGCGTGTCCATGTGACGCTTAAGAACTTCCCGCTGGGAGAAGGACAGCTCGCATTCGCTACATTTAAAGGGTTTTAAACCCGTGTGAATTATCATATGTCGCTTGAGAGAGCTAGCGCAGGAAAGTTGCAGCGAGCAGCTGGGACACTTAAGGGTGCCACCCTTGCCGCTCTTCAGGCCCTTGATATGGGTATTGTGGTGGCGCGTTAATAGTTTCTGCGTGGCATAGGCCACCGGGCACAAATGGCACTGGAACGTCTTCACCGTGTCCGTTACCCGACCGGCTTTTGGTTGTGGAAAACTAGAGGTCTGCTTGAACACTAATTCGGTCGATCTTGCTCGTTTTAAGGACGTTTCTTCATTACCTTTGGTTGATTCCTTCTCCTGAAAATATAAAAAAAAACGGTTATAAAGTGGTTATTTTAAGTAATAGTTACATAGTTACCACAATAATGACATTTTCGTCGAAATTAAAAACCTGTTGTTCTTCAGACATCTCGTCGCCGAGATTAAACACGACAACATCTTCGATTTCATCCGATTTCTCGCCACTGAACTGGATCTCGCCGTCTTCCTTGACTAAGCAAAAGGTTAATTTAGATTAAAAATAAATAAGTACTCCTATAAACTATATTCACTCACTGTTGTACGAGGTTATGTCGTTATCTTGGTCGAATTCGGGATTTGAATGCGCCTTTTGATCCTCTGAACTGGTAGAATTTATAATGTAAATCTCTCCATCCTCGGTGCGCACCATATCCCCTGTGCCGACCATTTTGATGTCTCTGAAGTCGTCCCCGGCCTCCGTGGGTACTTCTTCCTCCAGTTCGAGAGCATCTAGATTTACTTCAGTAGCATTTGTGGGGTCAGAATTGCACTCCATAACGAATTCTTCTTCCTTTTCCTTCTTTATGGATTGTGGCATAGGTGGCTTGTCCAGAGAGCTAAGGTGCCGCTTTGTAGAAGATTTCAACTTCAGCCTGGACGAGGAGTCTTGCTTAGCCTGCGCCTTTGTTTCTGGCTCGGAACCGTCCAAAGACTCCCATTGACCGGCTTTCTTTTCGGTAAGATATACCTCTAGTTCGCCCAAGAGCATGGCCAGCTGTTCCTTTCGCATGTCCTCGCTAAGCTCGTCGCGCAGCTCATTCCTCACCTGTTTGCGTACTTCCTCCGCCAGCTCATCGCGCACCTCACTGCGGACCTCTTCTGCCAATCCTTTGCGTAGCTCAGTGGTCAGTTTCGCACGCATTTCCAGGCGTGATTTGACCAGCCGTTTGTTGAACTCCGTCGCCTGCTCCTCTTTGAACTCCTCACGCCACTTTTGGTCCTCTAGCTTTCGGGCTTTGTCCTGCCCTTCAATAAACGCTATCGAGTCCTCAAACTCGAGCTCATCTTCGTCATAGTCGTCCGGGTCCTTCGAGAAAACACGGCTGCGCTTGCCCAGTTCGAGAAGCCGAATGTGCTTGCGCAACTTCTTCTCAGCCCATTGACAGCGTTGACGAAAGAGGAAGGACTTTTCCAGTTGGTAGCGGCACTCTTGGCAGATCTTTTTTGGCAGACTATCCGTCGCCTTGGCGTCGAGGGCGACGCAGGCCATCAGTCGCATTGGAATCGAAAGCTGGGTTTCATCCTCTTCGAATATGGAGTATGCATTCTGATGCTCCTTAAGGCACAGCCGGCATAGGGTCGCCAAATCGGGGTACGACGGCGGTTCGTCCATAGAATCGCTTCGCTCTGGATAAATCAACTTATTTACTCGGTGGCGTCTCTGGGCATCTCAATAATGTGACCACATTGTAGTGCGTCAAAAATACCGACTTTCGGGGCAAGAACAAGCCAACACAGTCACACTTTTTTATTCAAAGTGTTAAAGTGTTTTTATTTTAATTTGGCAAATAAGTAATAAGAACATAGATTTACATAAATATATTACATTTACTTGTGTCAAGATATTTTTTTAAATTAAACTATTCTATGCAAGTATTAAGATTGCAAGTAATACACGTTAAATATTATCCATAACAATATTACATCAATGCGAGTACGTAATCGATCATCCTTAACTCTTATAAAGTTTGTGTGGGCGATTATCAATCTTCAAGAATGTTTAGACGGGACACTTATTAATCACATTGTAAATTATTTTGATATTGATCGCGTTTTTATGGTATTATTTTGAGTTCCTCTGAAGGAGCATCGAACACAGTCGGCAGTATCGACGGTCGCTTTCGAGCTTCTTTTCGCCCTTGAGCTGTGCTTCCAACAGAACTTGTCGATATTCTTTCTAGGGCTTTCGATACGGCTATTCTTGGTTTTTACAACCTTCATAGGAGAATTTTTAAAGCTAAGGAAAGACTCTTTTTTAAAATCCTCACGCAGATGAGTTAACTGAGAATCGTGCATGTTGATCTCGACCATGGGAACGGCAACCATAGGGGTGGCACCCAGCTGCGTGCTCGACTCTGGCTCGTCGTCTGAAAGTAGTTGTTATATAGAATATCTGATGTTAAGTAACTGACAAATAGGTAAATCTTACCCAGCAGCTCCACCACACAATCATCGTTCGTAGTGAGTTGCTGCTCATCGCTTGTCTCTGCTTCATAGAATCCTTCAGAATGCTCCGCAACTATTTGATTGTTTAAATTGTTCTGGATTTCAGAGTTAGAGTTTATCCTCTCGGAACCATTAAGGTCGTAGGCCGTCTCGTTGCGCTTGCGTTCAAAGTATTGCTCCAACTCGTGGAACACGTCGTCCAGGACGTTCAGACGCAATTCCTTCCTAGCCTCGGCTAGTATAACCTCCTCCAGTTCAGCGCGAAGTTCCAGTTCGATGTCAGCGCGCACAGTCTGTTTGCAGGTGTTAAGAAGCTCCTTTTTGTAGTCACTAAGTTCGGTACGGATTAGCTGGGCAGCTTGCTGGCGCCATTGGGAGTTACTCTCCGAACAGGCAGTGGGTGTGCATCCAGCCACATCTCGTAGGAAACCCTCTTGGATCTCGTTCAATTTCGGTTGGATCCCTTCCCGTTCCAAGGCTATGTGCCGCCTCAAACACCTATCAGCTTCCTGGCAACGTCGTCGAAAGCAGTGGATCTCCTCCAGGTGAAGACGGCATGCGGGACATATGTTTTGCGGTAGACCATCATCATGTTCAATTTCAAGTGACGTGCAAGCTATTACTTTTAATGCGCTGGAACCAACAAGTGGAAAAATTGCTTCCTTTGATAAACACAGGCGGCATATGTTCATGTTTGCTTTTTGGAGATAAAATTATCAGTTTACAGAATGGTCCGAGATTTCTCTTTTTGGAAGATTTTCTTCAAATAAACAATAAACTATAAGAAACAGCAAAATATTAGGGATGGGGCAAGCTTAAGTTACGTTTTATCGATATTTGCAATTTAGGGTGGCGTTTGCGTGCAAAAATTCACAGTGTGGTAGCTCTACCAGCAAAGTGACCGTATTTTTGTCAGACAATAGGCGCGTAAAATTTAAAGATTCAAATGAAAGAATTTAACCAAGACTTTAACCCAAAATATAATTCAGTTTTCATTACTCAAGAAATATTAAATCAAAATATAAACAAACTTTAATTTATCAAACAATTTCATTATATTTCTTTAAATATTAAGTATAAATACGCAGTTAACTATTAAGTATTATATACACAATTACAATAAAGTATTCAGTCACTATAATGCTTCTTCTATATACAAATTACGATATATGTTTATATCCGATGGATTGAACTCGCCGCCGCACCTCAATAAATTATGCAATTCAATTCCATTATATAATATACAGTAACAGTCGTCTGTGTTCTTCGGGACTTTGCCGATTGATTTTCTCAATTTAGGATCTTCGCCGAGGATTGCCTACTTATAGCTAAAATGTTTGCAAAAACAATAAGTCAAGGACAATTAACAGTGTTTTCGTTCTCGTTTTTGATTTCTTTCTCTTTTTGCTCTTTGCTTTATCGCTTTTGGGTGGGGTTGGGTGTTTTGTGGATTTTGTTTTTTTTTTTGTGGTAATAAATATTATCGATCGGATCTTAACGATATTCAACATTGAAATACATCAATCATTAGGCATATACATAACTACAGGATATAATACAATACAGGATCGTTGGGATCAGGATACAATGTGTCCCTCAATCGTGGCGCCAGCTCTGCGGCAGCACATAGTCCTTGACCTTGTAAAGGGCATTGGCATACCAGTGGATGCCATTCTGCTGCTCCGCTTGGTTCACTGCCTTTGGCGAACTGCGCAGCTGGTCCTTGGCGGGAAGCCACGCCTCCACTGTGGACAGAAGGCGCATGGGTGCAAGACCCCAGTGAGCCAGCGATTGGCTGTTGATCACAGCATAGCAACTGGCGGCCACCGAGTTCACCACAATGGTTCCCTCGCGAGTCAGTGGTGCCACTACGCCTTTACTCCGGACACTGCCCACTTGAACGACGCGTTGGGGCCTCAGTTCCCCCGTCTCTGCATCCCGGACAATAACATGGTTCTGTTCCACAACGCGATCCGCAAAGACAAATGTCAGCTCCTGGCGTTCCGGTTGCCACACGCTCACCAAGTGAGCGGGCGTGACAGTCAGTACCGCCCCACCATCCGTGTGAAGCTGCACAAAGTTCTGCATTTGCTCGAGGTTACGGTCCATGAAGAGGATAACCTCGCTGAATACGGCTTGTCCATTGGCATCCATGCTCAAGACTCGGTCTCCAATGGAGAGCTCGCCGAGCGGCTTCTGGACTCCGCTCTCCAGCAACGCCGTGCTCTCCGGTGTGAAGCAGCCGTGCACGTGGGAACTGATTGAAGAATCTGCAAGTAAGAAGGAAAGGAGATGGTTAGAAAATATTTTTATAAAATTTTAAGTTAAAAAACCAATTATATAAGCACTCCCTAAAATATTTTTATTTCATTCAAGATAATACTTAGAATTATTCGACAGCAATTATGTTATAAATTTCAATAATTTGTAATCTTGCGAAAAGTACACCCTTTTAATAACTACTTAATCTCGAATCTAAAACAATCTATCCCATCTGCAGATAGCTTGTTTGCCCTCAGTATTGGCCGCCCAGGTAATGGCATTAGTTTGCTAATCTAATTTGGCGTTAAGCATCCAATTGCCAAGCCCAACAAGTCAAAAAGGTTTTCACAGATCCCAGGGCTGGCCCGTTGCAGCCTAAAGTGAAACAATGGGCCCCGAAAAAGGACTGAAAGGACTGCCTTTTGCGGCTAGCCAACAAGCCAGGAAACATAATGCGATCGAGGAACAGAGATCGGAGATCAGAAATCTGCGATCTGCCAGGCATATCAATAACAAGCGGCCGACGTGTTTTTGTTTCGGCTTGCACAAAAATTGTGATCTTGTTTTTCCTACAAGATTAGCCGTGGGATCAGCCGCAGCCTCAGCCTCAAGCCGAACCGAACTCGAGCCAAAGCGGCTTAGTTTAGGCATCCCAAGGAGGTGAGCTGCCAAAAAAAAAATGAAACAAAGAAAAAGAAAAAAGGGGATGGGCCAGGTAGCTGTTCGTGGTTTGTTTTCCCAACCTTTTTGGCAACCTGTTGGCAATTACCAAACATGCTGCAACCCACCTAAACAATAATCGAAGCGCAGGCCACATTAATCATCATTAATGGGTATCGGGTTGCAAAGGGCTATGTAGCTCTGGGGCCCACCCAGGTGGATCTGGAAAATATCGGGGATGCACTTTGTAGAACTTTCTCTGGGGGCCTTCACACCCGAAGCGCCGCTGCTGCTTGTAAAATTCAAATTAAAAATTCCAGACCAAATGCGACCACTAACCGCGCGCTTTATTATAATGAGTGGCCATAAAGTGGCCTTGTTGCGGCTGCCGCTGCCGCTGCCACTGACGCAGTCCATGGAATTCCATAGAAAATGCACCTTCCCAGTTGCCAGACCGAAATTCCCATTGATGCATTTTGGTAAACACAGACGGGCGGACACACAAATGTGTAGAAACAATAAAAATCGGATTAAATACATATGGCCGGCGGTCTATAAAACCCATAATCGATGGGGACGGGCCAAACGGGGGTTTCTGGGATCGGAATCGGGCCTCTAGAAAAAAGAAGAACAGAACAGAGTGGACAAAAGACCAGGGAGGAGTGTGAGAGGAAGCGCGGTAGTAACAAGAAAAATTGGTGTGAAATCTACCTTCTACCAAAAAAAAAAAGAGGCACTGAAACCGAAGCAGAAACAAAAATATATATAAAAACGAGGGACAAGAAAAATCTCAGGCCTCGTCGACGTCGTCGTCGTCGTTTACGTCGTCGGCGGTGAGTGGAAAGTGAAGAACTTGAAGGGTCATAAATTAATAAACCATTAAAGTGGTTAAAATTATCGTTATTTTATCTTTGTTGTGAAGACTAAACTGATAAATTATTACAAAACAGAGGACAGCCGCCTTGTTGTTGGCTTGGTGACTGATCGTTTGGACAGCATTAACATGAACATGCAACAACAACACGCGCTTGGGGGCTTTAATGCGCGCGCGCGACACACCAGCAACAACAACAACAACAAAAGACAGCAGCAACATTGGTAAAAGAAAAAGAGAAAAAAAATTAGTGTCGACAAAAAGGTTTACAGCCATTACTCTTCGTCGTCGTACTGTTGTTGTTGTTGTGCTTGTTTCTGATGTGGCTGTTACTTTGCTGCTGCTGTTTAGGCCACCAAAACGAAAGACTTAGGCAGCGAACTCGAGGCGCAGCGAATGCTGTGCCAAAACTGTCATAAGCCCGTGGTTTATGTGCAGCGGCCTATCAGCAATCAATCGCCCCGTAATTTATTGATAGCTACCAGCAGCAGCAGCAGCAGAACGACTAGCAACACATGGGTTTCGATGGACCGTTGGACCACACACATGTGGCAGGATAGAATGACCGACCTGCTTGCCACTTGTTCGTCGGCTGACCTTTTGATATTACCCAAAAAAAAGAAGAGAGTGAGAGGATGACAGCAGGATCCAGGTTCATAGCCTGACGGCTCCTTTCATAAGCAATTAGAATCAATGAGCAAGGACACTCGGCTCGGTTTCCTTTCCTTTCTTCCCCACCCCTTGCCCCTTGGCCTTTTGTCCTGCCGTAATCTTTATGGGCCGCCACCAAAAGTCACAATATTTTGACTCGACTGGGACTGCGTGTGTGGGAAAGAGGCGTGGCATCTTGTAATTGTAGATGGAAATTAAATGAACAACTGACAGCCAGTCGCACCCAAAGTGTCTGTCTGTTTGTGTGGGAAACTTGAAAGGGAAAATCCCTCTCAAGCCGCTAAAGAAATGCAAAAAAAAAAATAACTGAACACAAAATATTATATATAGAAAGACCTAAAGAGAGAGAGGCAAATCTTGGCAAGAAAACTTAATTGTCTTGGCCCGTTTTGGTTGGCTGATCGGGCCAAAAGCATTTTCTTCTCGGTCTTTGGGGCAGTTTCGTTATGTTTCGGGGAAAACTGGTTGCTGGCCATAATGGCAGCTCACAGATATACACACTTGGAACAACCAGGCCCGTCCTAACTGATGATGCTAACTTGCTGGCCAGTTCGGCGTTCGGTGTTCAGTGTTTTTTTCAATTAGGCCCGCGCTCAGGTTTTAGCCCGGCATTTAATTCATCTTCGCTTGTTGCCTTCTGCCTCTGTTGCCTGCGTTGCCTGCTTCTCTGTCTTGGCCAGTTTCTACTGCCTGAGAAACGCTTTGGGTGTCGTATCATCAATTCGTTTAATTTGACAGGCGCAAACCTAAACATGTCAAAACAACAGCCATGCGGTTAGTAGTGGTGGTTGCCGCCTCTGGAGCCGAGTTTCGGGCTCAGGTCCCCAGTACCCAGTACCCAGACCATCTGTAGTCCGGTTTTCTGACTTTGTTGCGCCGTTGTTTCCCCCTTTCGGATCTTGCCAGTCCGAGCCTTCAGGTTGGACACTGCAGCCGTGGCCAATTTGCCGGATGCGATGTGCAGGGCGAGCGGCTGAAATTTGCCAACGCCTGTCAGCTTAGCGATCGCCAGTACGAAACATGCGAAATTACGCTTGTTAGTGTCACTTCTGGCTAACTGACCAGGCCCACCCATCACCCAGCACCTCGCCCAGGGCTTACTTACTTCCTACAGATTGACTAGCTCAAAAGGGTTTAAGTTGTCTTTAAGGTCTTTGAAGGTTGTATCATTAGAGGTATTATTTTGAAACAATTTATCCCTCATCAGATGATAATATAATTCCTATGATATGACATTTCCCAAAGCAAAACTGTTTCCTAACTTTACTGAAACCACAAAACCGGAAAACTATTCATTATGAAAAATAACCAAATCATGAATGTCAAACCGTAAACCCATTAAGTGCTCATACCGACGATTAACTAAATTATGTGGACAATTACCTGACTTGACGGAGCAGTAGATGTGGCGCCGGCTGACATAGGAGACCCAATCGAATCCGGCCTCCACGGCCAAACGGGCTAGCATGCCGTATTTGGACTGATCGCGATCGGAGGTGGCAATGGTTACCGCACGACCCTCGTAATGCAGCGACTCCTGACCATGATGGTAATCCTCATCCCAGCTTTCGGTGACCAGCAGGCGGATGCCGGGCCATTCGTTCATCACAGAGTAGGCCAGCACGTTCAGCTTCTCCCTGCAGCGCTGAAAAGGGCAGAGAACACAGAGATCGATTAGGTATTGTTAATAGCCAGACGCCATGTTTAATTCACGCAGCACGCACGTGCAAGCGAGATGGATATAGTGCGCTGGCAAGGGGCGTGGCATGCGGGCGTTCATTCCGGTGGCCCAAAGGGCCCAATGCGTTCATTTTCACCGATCTCCAGTTGAGACTGGGAGAAATACACTAAACAAATTTGGGGAAGGAATACAGGGAAAATATTCTTGATTTTTCTATTAGTAATGTGTCTTAATTTCTACAAATTCAAACTAAAATATTCAGAATTAACAAAGATGAAAACCAGTATATAAAATAAGCCCATTAATATTAGGAATCCAGTATACCCCATTTTTAGGATCAAAAATAACATTTTAGAGAGCCTACGATTTTTGCTCTGAGTGTATCTACCTTTACCGCTCTGTGAGTCTGCCCTTTTTGGCCGCATCCTTTGAACCTGTTGCTGCAACCTCAACAAACAGGCGATCGTGTTTGCCCAGTTCCCTTTTTGGCCAAAGGCTTATTTGCCCATGCTTACGCGCAAACACTGACCCTCGATGGTGCTGGTGCTGGTGACCCTAACCCACGCTCAACGATAGACCTTTTATTTTCTCCCTTTTCACTCTTTGTTTTTCCTGTCGATAATATGAAAATGCTTACGCTTTGTTTGCCAATGTGGTGGGTGCTCATCCGTTTGTCGGCTCGTTTTCATTTGATTTTTTTTTAGTGAAGAGAGAGGCCCAGAGAAATGCCAGCCAAGCAGAAAAGGATTCGAATAAGTCTATGCAAATATTTGAGATCCCAAAACTCAAAAACTCAAGACTCACAAAAAAGTAAGAAAAAGAAAACTAAGACGGCAACAGAGTATCTTAAAGATTGAACCAGCCACAAAATCAATTATCAACGGACAGAATATTGCCGGTTGACAGGATGTTGCCTTTGTGGGCAAACAGAATTCGAGCCGTAAAATCAATTTGCGACACAGAGATCCTTTTCGCCTTTTCAACTTTTTTTTTCCCCTAAAGACAAACCACAGCGGTCAGAGTTTTGCCTTTTTGGTTTCATGTTTTGATGAGGTGTGGATCTGTGTTTGCTATTATACTCGTATTTTGGCCAAAACAGAGCTGCCAAATTTGTCACACAGCTGTGGTGCGGCCGCAACTGTGGCAAATTGAGGTGGCAGGCCGCATTCCGGGAATAAGTTCAATGATATTTGCTAAACCCCGCTGCAACTTTGCTTTATTAAAAGGCTTAACCAGTCGAGTGCTTCAGAGTCGAAAGGCGAGAGACAAGAGCCAAGAGCCAAGTTGTGCTAATGAGCACAAAAGCGTAACGACAAACAGAGGATGGAGATATGTATAACCATACAGTATATCCATATCCATAGAGCCATGGGTTGGGGTAAAGACAAACGCTTTTGTCTTAAGCACTGCCAACGATGTTTACCCAACATGCTAATGCATTGAGCTCGAATTCGAATCGATGCGCTGGACGCGCAATGAACAAACAACGGCCGTCTCAGATCTTAAAACTGGGATCTGCGATCTGGGATCTGAGATCTCAGATCCCATATTCCATATATATGTATATGTATGTATGGTATGCATGTAGGAACTCCCAGCAACTCCCAGCTAGCTAAGTTCGTTTGCCGACGGGTGCGTAAGGTAAACATTTACGGATACACGGCGTCGGCGGCCCAAAAAGATGGCTAAATAATGTGTGTGCCTTGTAAGTGGCCGTTAGACAACAGCGTCAAGTGTAAATAAGCCCGTGCCCTGGCATCATCAGGGGATCGGAAAATCCCAATACCTATCTTTGCTCCCTCCGCTGCAAGAAAGCTGCATTAATTAGACATTCAACAAGGTGTGAACTTTACCTTTACCCTTGCCCAGCCATTACCCCGAAAAGGGGAAAATCAGAAATCAAAAATCCACAACCACGCCCCATTGTCTGCGTGTGTGTGTGTGTGTTGACATGGGGGCTATATTCGATTTACCATAGCTTTTCAGCTCGATTTTGGCTATTTCTGTTTTAGTTCATGTTTTTTTTATACGCCTCTGATGCGTTTTTAATGGCCGCGACTGCAGTTTTATTGATTTAAATTGTCTGGCTGGCTGCCAATTTGACGCTTTTAATGGTTGGGCAAAATTATTATGGCACGAAGATTATTAGGCACTCATCATCATTAGGCAGCCGGCCAAGTCCAAGACGAGTTGGCCGAGTCCGAGTCCGAGTTCGAGTTAATAGCTTGGTCTCACCCGGATACAAGTTCGGGGGCTTTGTTTGTTTTGGCCAGGCCATGCCCATCCCATCCCATTCCATTCCTCCTGGGCAGTGTGTCTTTTTTTAGCAAAGGGGTCTCGGATTACTGGGTACCCCAGGGAAACCGACGATTAGGAAACGACACAATTTAACGACATAATTCAAGTGCGCATTAAGTTACGGCTGCCAGGGGAGTCACCCCTTTTTTTTATATGCATATATATATATATGTATATATGCTGAGTTGAGATGCACGTGCTCTATGGTGTAAGCAGATATGGCATATCCTTTGATTCCCGGCACTGATTGCGATCGCAGAGGAAGCGAAAACTTACAACTGAGGAAGCGACACAGGATATAGTCGAAAAAACAAGGAGAAACTCTAAAGAAATCACGTCACCCACCCGATATACTACTATATATATACACGCATATACATACACACGATATGTGTGTCAACGGGGGCTGAGGTGGGCCACTTGAGGGGCCGCCACTTAGGTGGCAACTTAGGGTTTCTCGGGATTCTGGAGTTTTTTGGAGTCTCGAAACTGGGATCTGAAATCTGGAATCAGTCAGCGGGCCTTTTACCGCCACGTGTGTGGCCCACTCGAGCGGGCATACACACACACACACACAGACAGACTTTTCCACACTTAATTGGCGAACTGTTATGTATCCTCTGATTGATTCAAGTGCAATGCCAATCCGCAGCTCTATCATAGTGTTTATTTGTGTTGCAAATCTATTCACAGCTCCACTCTTCATTAGAATTAGCGGCGGTCTTTCATTGTTTACGATGCGCTGGCAGCGCAATTATTACAGCGCAAAAAACAAAAACAAAACAACAAAAAATCAAATATCAATAATAAAGGGCCAGCCCCAATGTCTGAGGTTTTAATTAATTGGAAATGGACGGAAACGGAGAGGAATGTGACTGTGTTTACGGATTCACCAGAGAAATCACTGGGTCCGAAGTCTGCTCCTGTCTGTTTATATTCGCTTTTTGTTTCCATTATAAATGGCAGGGCATTAAAAAGCTGAAACCTTTATTGGATTAATGGGGGGATTAAGAGTTCTGTATCGCAGCTAATTGAATTCCAACCACATGGTTAAAAGATCTGAGAAGTAATTAGAAGTCGAAACTGAAATATTTGTAATCTTGTAATGAAAATGCAAATTTTTTTACATTTATTAGATTGGAAAAACCCCTGCCAAAACGCATTACAAATGCTCGTAAATCTCGCGTCAAATAAATGTCCATAAAAGGAAGGCGTCATTTTATTGTTATTAATTAAATGCTATTAATTTGCAGAAATCGTAAATTAAATCTCAGTTGTGGCCTATTGCCTTGTGCCTCACCTGCCTCACGCGTCTGCCTGCCACATTTAATGTCCCCCGGCGATCAGCAAAAGTCATTTGGAGGAGGCGAGGAGTCAAAGTCAGGTAAGAGAGTCGAGTTCGAGCCGGGTCTTAAATGATAAGCGCCATAATCCCTGATGTGTGATTAACTTTGATGATGAGTTATGAGCCGCACATTGGCACTGATGGGGCTGCGAGGATGGGGATGGCCAAGAGGTAAGGGGAGTTCTTTGGGTTCCCAGTTCCAAGTTCCAAGTTCGAATGACTTGCAGGAATCACGATAGAGAGAGAGAGAGACGAGACGAGACCATGTGAAATGTGAGTCACTCGCCCAGCAGTAATGTGATAGCCGCGACGCGATCTCTGATCGCGATCTTCTTCGCCTCTCCGCCGAGCAAGTTCATAAAAGTTTTATGCAAATAAAGCAAAAGCCAAACTTAAAGGCAAAGCAAATATCGATGGCATTTTGGGCCAACAAATCCTTGAACATTCGCGCTTGAGTGCCCTCGTAAAAGTATCAAATTGATTAATAATAATATAAAAGCATCTCTCACAAAAGCAAAACAAACAGTGCGAGTGCGGATCCAGCAGGGATATTCAGAGTGGCCTTAAACGGATATGGGTTATATGGTTTATATATGGGGACTGTTCTTTTTTGGAGACGATTTGTCCACTTTGCCTGACTGATGTTTGTTTGATAAGTTTGATTACTTTGTTGGCCGCAGGAATGTTCCCACGAAATTGGCTGATGTTTTGCTTATCGCAGCATTTGACGTGATTTGATTTGAATTTTTGGCAAAGGAAAAAGGGAAGAAAATGAAACTGAAGCTCTGACATCATCCCACCCAAAGATCTCTTATTTTTCGTTTTTTTTGTCATAATAGGATCAATTTTGAGTCATAATGCTCTATTAAAATGCCTGAGCTGAGGGCTTACTTTGATTTGATTTGAGTGGAGTTGATTTGATGGTGATGTCGATGTTGATGTGCATGTCTGGAAGACGAGAGAGAGTGAGGTTTTTGAGGACTGGGACTGCTGCATGCATGTCAATAATCATATCGGATTACCCATTGGCTTTGCCCTCAGCCCCATTGTTGCTACAATTTATGAAATTTTAGAACTTATGCTGCGGCTTTTGACGCATTCTTTTGTCCATCCATATCCATCTGTCCGCTGCGGTTTCTGCTGCTTGTCTAATCCCATGGCATTCGAGATACATTCAGTTCAGCATTTGGTTAAGGAAAAGGCGTGTTCCCCATAGACACATTTGCCTTGTAATTACCCGAGGCAATGACTTGTCATAAGCTTCACCAGTTTACGATGTTCTGCGTTGCATTCGTTCGTTTCGGTTGCAGCTACTTAATGCCCGTTTGCTGAAAATTTTGCAATTTGTTTATGCAACAACTGCAACAGCAGCAGCAGCAGCAGCACAAGCACCCACACCCACACTCAGGGCCACACAGTTAGCAGTCCGTTTTGTGAGCGTTTTAAATAGCCACAACGAATTGTTTACCAGCTGAAATTCACGCACAGCGGCCAGTAAGTCACTCGGTTTGGATAGCCAAATCCAAATCCACATAAAATACGATTTAGTTGCGCTCTGTTGGTCGGTCCTTGGTTCTCAATACTCAAAACCCAATACCCAATACCCAATATTCGATACCCGATTCTCAATGTCAAAATGTCAGTCAGTGAGTGCAACTTCGGTAGCGGAACAACGGTTGCCGTTGTAAATATTTGTCCCGTGAACAACAGGATTTTTATGTGGCCCGAGTGTCCTTGGCCATTTAGTCAAATGGCCAAAGGACCTTGGCCTTCGGTGTCACTGCGATATTGCTGCCGTGCGAGCAACTGTTAATTGTTCGCCAGTTTCTGGAAAGGCTGCGATGCCTTTTGATTGCATATCAAATTCAAGGTAACATCTGAAATAGCTGCAAAGCCATTTAAAAATCCCCCGATGGGCGCGTGGCAGTTGGAAAAAGAAAAGGCAATTTGGGAAAAGTTCTCAGGTGAAACTCTAGCCGTTCGAACAACTGTTTTGTCATATCGATCTTTCGATTGCTTTAAGTACAGTGAAATCAGATATGAAAGATCTAGAAAACTAGTCAAAGAAACACTAACTATTAACTAATAAATCAATATATTGAAAGTCATTATAACATGAGTGTGTTTCATTATAATCTTAGATCAACAATATTATTTTGGTTGGCAGCCATAATCTGTCTTCTCATAGTTCTGATTACTGGAGTGTTGTTCAATAAGGCCGTATCATATGCTCCAAATCGTGGACAAGGAAACTGGAAGTCCGCCATAAAAGTTTTAATTGCCCATTTATGGGAGTGCGCTTATCAATAATAAGGCTATTTATACACCTGGTCAGCACTTAAAATTTCATTAAAATAACAAAATCTACAAGATAAGCCATGGCGTCCATGGTAAGCGTGCCGATTGTATATCAGCAACTTCAATGTCAGCCCTCTTAGGGGGGCTTGACTGTTGGCCAGAGACTTATGGCCGGTAATGCAACCACCGCCACACTGTTGGCTAATTGGAACTTGTCGCTTGAATTAAGCACTTGCTTTAGCTGTTTTGCACTTTGAAACTAACAACTGCCACCCCCCAACTGAGTGGTGTCCAACCCGCCCCTTCACTTTCACTGCCCCTCGCCCCTTTGCAGGGCGATAAGATATTGCTATTCTTCGCCTTAGCTGGTGTCTTAACATACATTTTTTTTCTACCAGCGATATAGCACAAGTATCAACTTGTAAGTACTTGCACGGTAAATAATTTCACAATCTTGAGAAAATATAGTTATGACAAATTTGGGTAAGAACTGAAGAGTCCAATTGATAAACACAAGAAGCTCCGAAAAAAATGACAAAATAATAAAAAATTCCTTTAAAAAATTCATCCTTTCCCAATCGATCCAATTTTCTTTCAGTGCCATCTCATGTAGCAACCCATGTTGGCAAATACAGAGTCACTATCTGGTGGTTAGTACCTGTGTATTGGCGAACAGGCTACTTGGCTGCAGTCCGCTTATCAGACAAACGCCGGCGATAAGCGTCAAATGCTCGCGTGCCTCGACTTTATGGTGCGGACAGGTGGGTGGAAGGCGAAAGGCGGAGGAGTGTGGGCTTGGGTAAAACCTGGTAAACACCGGAGACTCGTAATCCCTCGTACTCGATACCCTGTTTGTTTTTCAGCGCAAAATCGAAAACGCATTCGTTCGAGGGTACACAATGTTGATTAAACTATTTGCAATGATGATCCCCGGATCGATTGGGCTTGAGGTTGTTGAACGCACACTCCTGTTTGTTTGGATTTGGGGCAGCTTGGCAGCTTTATGGCTAAGTTCGCTGGAATTCAGTACGCTATCTACCTCTGGCTTTCGAGTATCGAGCTTCCTGTTATTTTGCACTCGCAAAATAATAAGTGCAGTAGGCCGATAAGATGCATAATTAATCATATAAAATGGCCAATGCTCAAAACTAATGCGATATTTCTGCCCGGTTTTTATGGCCTACTGCCGTCATAAAGTTTTTTATTATTATTATTTTTTTTTTATTTTTGGTTAGGCTCAAGCCGAGATGATTGGGCACTTTTCGCGCGCCACGTAGCTTTTATCAATGGGAACTGAGTGGCACAATCTCGTGCCATCGGGGCGATCGATAGATAAGGTACACCAGCGCCAGCGATTAGCGATCGCTAATTTGACAATTGAATTTGTGCCCACTGGTGGGCAAAAGGTGAGTGCAGTGCGCAATAGGCACGGAATTAGCCTAGCCGCAAAAACGGAACCGAGCTGTCTATCTGGTGATTGATATAGAACTAGAAATCACGGCTATATCAGCTTGGAATTGTCAGCTAAATTGGTTTTCACACTTATAAATTTCTATTTTAGTTCTATATGTTTTCCTATATCACAAAGGGCTTACGTTTATCACCAAGTTATTAAAATATTAATGTGCTATTCGCCCATTACAAGTTTGATATTGTCACAAGTTATTTTGATTAGTCATTCTATAGTGAAAATATCAAACATTTTACTTGATTTCCGTTTGCTAAACATATAAAACATTCTTATGAAATCATTTGGAAAACACACATTAGTTAGATAAATCATTTTACTACTTATTGTGTTCAACGTTTTATTAGTCATTTACTTTTGATTATAAAAATTCAAGTCACTTTAGGAAAACCCCAAATGAAAATTTCCCAAACGATATATTACGACTTCTGACACTTTAGTGATAAAAAGTTTTTCCCTTACCTTGCTCATAAAGCGATCGGCTCCAGTGCCCTCTTCGTCGCGGAAAAGGATGTCCCTGTTGTAGTTCGGCACAAGATCCTTGAACTTAGGAGAATCCCGACGGATCACGCCCTCCAAAGGTCCAGAGGCGCTGTTCGTGTATTCGGAGAGATTGGGAATGGTCTGCTTAAGGACCAGCGGATATAGGTTGCGCGCCCTATGACGACCCAGTCCCCGGCCAGGACCACAGCTATGGGCCGGGGTGAAGTACAATGGCAAAACGAGCAGCAAAAGGGCCATTAGAGAGGTCAGCCTGCTGATGCAACGCTGCGTATGCGCAATGTGGCGCATCGTTTGCGATTCTGGAGTTGCGGAGATGGAGCTCGCGGCTTTAGTTTCAGAGCTGGAACTGTGGCATTTGGCGTCCAAGGAGAGACAGGTGACACTGGCGGCACTGGCCCACGGCACAGAGCTGGTGTTATCCATTATTTATTTTTGGACTCGCTGTTTGCTGTTTCTCTTGATTGAATTTCGGTTGTTTTTCTTTTTCTTTTTTCTTTTTGGTTATTTAGCACTTCACTTTTGGCACACTGACACGTTTTGACGGCACGTTTGTTAATTTGTATTCTTCTTAATTTTTTATTTGGTTAGTTGTATTATTTAGAGAGAGCTGGCTAAATCGAAATAGTTGAATCGGCGGAATCGGCAGGTCCTAACTGTCGGTGTTAACTGTTTTCCGCTGAACTGGCAGTTAGCTCTCGGATCGGACAACCGTTGCGCTCGCACTGTGATTGACAAATGACATTTCCGAGCGGAGTATCGTGCGCGCAGAGTGTTCGAGTACGAGTACGAGTACGAGTACGGCAGCGAATACGAATACGAGTACGAGTACGAGGGTGCTTTCAAGAACCCTAGGCCTTAGCTGCTCACAAACACACAAACACACACACACGAATGCCCCGAGTTCATTTTCAACTTCATTTGTATGGGTAAGGCACTCAACGATCGTTTCTGGTGTTCATTTTTATGCTGCCTTAAAGAGACACAAGTGAGAGCGGGACAACCAGAGAGTATATACCATACCGACAAGACTGGTTCACATGTATTGGTGTCTGGGTATCTTCGGGTCTTATGTACCTCTTAGCGATGCTGGCAACAGATGTTGGACGGTATGGTACGGTCCATTATGGCCATGGTTGTGAAAATGTGTGTGCCTGCCTGTTGCCAATTGGATGTGCTGGTGTGCGTCGCTGTGCGATCGTGGCCAGAAGAGCCCGCATCCTCAGCTGCAATTTCTCTTAACACTTGCACTACTCGACTCTTGTGGCTTGTTAGCCGCTTCTGACCCCTGCAACTCCCTCTCCATCCTCCATCCATTCCGGCCAACTCCTCCTGCACTCATTGTTCACTTTTTTCCGTTGCCTTTCTTCGTTTTGTTGTTCGTTTCGCTTTATTGCTTGTAAATTAATAATGTTCCGGTTTTTTGTGTATTGTGTGACTCCTGGGCAGCCTTATATGGTATATGGTATGTGGAGTATATAGGTTCAATGCTGCTTCCGTTTGGCAATCTTCACTGAGCACAAAAATCAACCGGAATTTTCAGTTCCTTAGAGTTATAGCTTAGATTGTACATATAAGATCGCTATGGATGGCGATCTAATGAGTCACTAGTCGAACACCTTAGAAAATGACTAGGTTCCGATTAGATATCGCCTCAGGACGTACGAATTACTCGGTAATATAACGACGGAAATTAATCTCCGTCATAAGTTCCGTTCAACGCATTGTAAATATTGGCAAAAATATATATGTATATATAGCACGACCGATAACGTTTTTGGCAAATAAAATTTGCAATTAGTTACTTTATATTTATGAACAGCAAACAAAAACTGCAAACTGACTGGCGATTGATGCCGCTTTTCTAGAGATCAATAAATTTCCAGTTTTTTATCTTTGTTGACTTTGAGCTAATACAGAATTCAACCGAACTGGGTACCTCAGATAGATATATATATATATACATATGAGTATATCGACTATATAGCTTTTTCGCACTTATTGAACTTGGTGTTGGGATGACATAGTGTCCTTTGTTTTGGGTCTTTTTCAAAACCTTTTTGCGGTTGCACCGGGTCTATTGACACTGTCACTTGGCAAGCGCGAGTCTCGGAATACGCCCGTCCAATGTATGCCCAAGAAATTGTCACCTTCGATCTGGGGGAGAACCATGATGCCACCAAGGGCCAAGGGCCAAGGGCCAAGATGCACCTGCCAATGTAACGGATTTCAAAATCTGATCTTTTTGGTAACTCTGTGGAATGCAAAGCGTAGCATAATTTCAACAAAAAATGAAAGAAAAAAAGAAAAAAATCGAGAAATACAGAAGAAGAAACAGATTGAATAGCTTCGTGGTTTTGTGGCGGCAAAAGATATAAGAGAAGGCAAAACGCCATCAACAAGATACACGGAACCAAATTAAAGATGAAGAAGCTGAAAGGGAAGGGGGGCTTGGGGGTTGGATGGTGGATGCTGGGGCATTTGTGTGCGAGAGTCTATGTGGATGCCACATAAATTTCTGACTTCATTGTGTGTGCGCTCCGAACTCATTACGTTCACTGGTGTGCGTTAAAGTCCGTATCTGTGTGTGGGGCGGAGCTGCTTAAGGCGCTCATTTGTGAATGAACACACAACACACAGCCGCGAACAAGGCAGCAGCAGCAGCAGCAACAGCAACAGCAACGGCAGATACAGATACGAAGACCATCCCGAAGACCAGACAACAATCGCTCCAGCACTTAATGATCATGAATAAATGGCATTGCCGATGGTGGAGCAAGCGAGACGGCCAGAGCGGGCCTCATAATCACGATCATATAGATCGCGCTCTTAGCCGAAACTCCATCAACCAACAACAACATCAACAACAAAAAACACCAAAAAGACCTAAAGAAAAACACTAAATAAATAAACTAACAAAAATACTTTCCAGGCCCTTCGAGATAAAAAGCCGCAGATTAGTTTCTGTAATTAGATTTGGTCCAGCATTGATTTATGTGAATATTAATGGGACGACAGTTATAAACCGAAATTGAATTTTAATGGCAACCTGTAATGCTGCACGGAAAAAAATCATGTGTTTTATTTTTAGAAAAATCGATTTATTAACAATTATCAAAATATTATGGCCTCAGTTTGTTGTGTTTGATCCAGTTTAAAAAATTATTACATTAATCATTAAAACTTTTTCCTACTTTTGACTTTTTACTATTCTGTTAATAATATTATTATTGTACTATCATAAGATATTAAGCTCATTAAGGTTAACTAAAAAATATATCCACCTAATGCATTACTCATATATCAAGTTAAGATAAGTCTTCTTACCGTGTTTTTGAGTCTCCAAATAGATGAACCGGAAATGCCCAGAACATTCGCTGGCCAAGTGGAGACCACAGAGCCCAGAGTTAGCCACAGCTCTCACAGCTCCTCTTGGCCAACTCGCCGCGGAATCCATGGACAGATGCCAGCCAGATGCCAAAGAGCAGATGGAACGCCATTTTCTGTGCGCCATGGCGCGTCCGCATCCAACAGCGTCTCCGTCTGCTTTTAATTTCTTTTAATGGAAGTTGTTAACATGGCTGCTGCTGCCTCGCCCGGATCGTCTCCACCTCCTCACCGCCTCGATCCTCCTGGTCGGCGGCTGATTTTCGGTTTGGATCCCACCATTCCCACCAACGCCATGGGTTGCGGCTGATTTGCTCTTTTTTTTTGTGTTTCTCTTACTTTTCGTTGGTGTTTCGATCATAAAACTTCGATATGAAACTTGAATTTTTTTTTCTTTTTTTTTTATGCGCTTCCACAGGTTGCGGGCATACGGCTTATGTAATGTGATTTGCGGGTTGGTGAAGGGAGGCTTGGGAGTCGGTTAAGGATGATGTGAAAATGAAAAGACACTTATTTTTTTAATTTAAAATATAAAACGAACAGCTTGTCTTATAGCCATATAAGCTCTTTATGAAAGGTGGAGAAACTTAAGCAGGGGCTTAATTTAGGAAAGACATTTCCCAAGCCAAAGTACCAATTTCGTTATCGAGAACGGAAAATGGCAAATAAGATAGGTGAAACTCTTTTTTAACTGCTAATAGTTTTCTTAACAGTTTTTTAAGCCATATTTACCGTTTAAAAATAATATTACGAACATAAAAATCATAAATAATCTTTATTATATAGAGTATAAAATTGTCGATTCCAATACTAACTTGATAACTATGCCGCTCTCGGTTGGGGTTCATTGAATTTCAGAAGTGCTTTATGGTCACTGAGCTGGCTGTAGCTGCCAAGTTTGTTGCCAAAGTCTTTTGTTTTGGCTGCACAGGTCGCGCGGCTCTGGCATTAGAGAGAATAATAATCATAAGCAGCCCCACATAATTAACAAATAATAATGGCCATAACGCGTGCTTTGGCCCGTCGCACCGGTTTTCTCGGTTATCTCATGTGAAGGTCGTGGTAATTTAATAACTGCTACTAACTAATATTTACGAGAATATTTATATTGTTTATGACCACATTTAAATGGCTGAAACAAAAAGGGCAAAGAGGGCAACCAATTTTAAAACCGATCACAGCCGCTGTTCTCATATCAAGCCAATGCTGATTTCGATTTGATTCCAAGAACCAGGCACTCAATCATGCTGCGAGTTGTGGGACTCTTGTTGTGACTGCGGCGGTTGCTTTTGGCCTCATAGCGTGCGACAAATGCCACTAACGGTTTGAGGTCTCTAATGGATGTTGACATTTACGGCTACCAGGGATCGGAATAGGGATTGGGATTGGGATTGGGATATGTTTTGGCTGTTTAATTCACATAAATCTAAGTGAAATGCCATTGGGGAATTGCTGCCGAGATAGAAATTAGGCAAATGGATGGATGTGCCTCCGGTATTCCTTGGAATTTGCCACTACAAAGGTAAAAGAACAGCCACTGAATGGGCCCAGAGACCAGGAGCAAAAAAGGGGCAGGAGTCGGGGGCTTGTAACATAAACATTCACAGCCAGATCCCAGAGTAACTGGGCATAAAAAGGGTCGCCTCAGTGTGTGTGTGTGTGTGTGTGTTTGTACAAACATTTGTCAACTGGACTCCTTTTGATCCCGACCGGCACGAGAGTCAAAAAGTCGTAAGCGGCATAGTTATCATTGTGCAGTGGGTCCATTGTGCTATCAGCTGGCAGCGATCGATGCGGTTTAAACAGCAGTCGAGCAGTCGAGATCACGGTGAGTAAGCAGTGTCCGTTGGCCCAGAGGAGGGCTGAACAGGAAAGGCATCTCGGCCACATGCGGCGCGTATTTGGCCAACAGTTTTTGCACGAGACAAACCACAAAAATGCACCTAAATGTGCCGAATGTTCCTTCCAAATCAGTACACAAATCAAATGTCGGTAGATATGGCAACATATGCCACTTATTCGCTGGAAAAATAATTTTAACTCTGATAACTGACCTTGTATTTTGGGAATTAAATACCATAAGGTAATATACATTGATTAGATATAAAAATTAAATAACAATCTTATTTAAGTTTAATCCAGTAAATCTCTAACAGACTAGTTATAATTCCAAACAATCTAAAGGGTATCAACCACTTCGGCTAAAGAGGCGACACTCCAGATTTGTTGTTAAACAAATTGCACCGCATTCATAGAAGGAATCCCATGGAGCTTCACTCATGCTCACCGCAAAGCCAAGCGGCAGCACTTACTTAAAATATTAAACAACGCTGAGCCGTTGTTGCGCTCTCGAACATCTGAAGATCCATCCATATTCGAGGAGTTGGAGGAGCTACATAGATCCAGTCCAGCAGACGCAGACGAGTCACATGGATGCCCTCTCAAGTGGCCGTGCAGGCGACAGCCGAAGGGGGATTTTCTCGAAGGGGTGCTCATGGGCTCTCGTATATAAATGTGTATCATGGCGATGGTCAAGTGAAGCGCATGCGTTGATGGACTTGAATTATATGCGACTTAAGCTCTTTGGCTGCTGTTGCTGATGCTGCATCGGCATCCTCGGCAGCCAGTGCCATAAAAATTAAAAGTCATTATGGCCTGGAACAGCATTTAAGCCGTGGCAATGCGAGTGTCTTTCTGAATGTGGGGAAAACGGAGACCAGACCGTGGCACATTCCCACAGTCGGAGAATCCCAGCCACAGTCCCAGTCCCAGTTAAAGATCCCGGGATCGGATCGGATCGGCTCGAGTGTCGCTGGGCTGTCAGAAAGTGCCATGAGACGGCAGCCACATGCGTCCACTTGGAGTGGGTTAATATTTGTTTGCTTTATCATTTTGAATTGACAGCAAAGTGGCGCTTGTTGCTCTTGTTGTTGCTGTTGCTGTTATTGTTATTGCTGTTGCTGTTGTTGTTCCTGCCGATGGACCCAGCGGGCGGGCCGCGTCGAAGGCTCAAGTTGTTTGTTGTCTGCGCGCCGATTATGGAAAGTTGATGACCAACAACAGAACATAAAACACATCATAGGTGAAACATCGAAAGCTGCCTCCACCTACTCTCACTCCTTCTCAAGTGCTTTTGGGTCTTAGAAAATTGCACATTTTTATCTACAAAAAGGGTTTTCAATTTCGAAATGCCAATATAGAGTCAGTACTCCCTTTTTGTTATGCGCCGCTCGTGGCCAAATGCCGCCCAGGCCACAAAAACCGCACGCGGAATGCAGAAACTGCCTGCCGGCAGCCAGGGGTTAAGAAGGCTGGAGGGCGGGGACTGCCGAGCAACACTTCGTTAAGTTGGGGCCAACATCAACGTCAACGCCTGTGCCGGTTAAATAGATTTTCAATACTCTATTCAAGGGGTTAGTGAAATATGCTAAGCAGTTTGTCAGTTACGTTAATACATAGATAGATGTACAGTATATATGTATATACATTATAGCTTAAAAATGTTTTTGCTTATTTAATAAATTCTGGAAAAAATATTTTTTAAATCTTTTATCCTAACCATTTTAACTTACTTAAATATAGAATATACTTATTAAATTAATAATACATAAAAATGTGAAAGGGTATCAATCACTTCGATGCACCATTTATAAAACAGTCCCCTTGTCATTCTTTTTTGGGGTCGCCTTGCGCACTCCTTCGCTTGGCTTTGATCTGCGGATGTTGCAGGCAGGACGGCAGGCAGGCAGTCAGTCAGTCAGAAAGGCAGTCCAGCAGTCAGGGCCCCAGAGGTAGTCACACGAGCCCCATTCCGTCTCATCCTGTCCCCCTGCCACTTCTCTTCCTTTCCGATCCCATCCCATCTCGACGAACTGCAGCAAATTGAAAATTGATTTTTGAGCAGAGCTTGGCGCGCCAAGTTCGCTGCCTAAGTCTTTCGTTTCGTTTCGATTCTTTTGGATGAGTCAAAGTACACGCCGTGAAATTCCCACATAAATTGCGCGCGTTGTCAAATTAAAAATGCCTAATGAGCTGATCGGTCCCTGGCCCAATGCAAAAGAGCTGAAAAATGCATTAGAAGCAGCAGGGACCCGTGGATCGGATCGGATCGGATCGTAGGTCCTATATATATATGTATATATACACCCTTACTTCAGTCGGCGGCGGCGAAATGTATCGTGTTACAAATCACGGCGGGGGAAGCGATGGCAGCGGCAAGAACAAGTTTCGAGTGGAAATGCGTGTAGCGTGCAGCGTGCGAAACACTGCAGAACATGGACACGAATCGGGATCGAGGCGAAAGCCTGATGCTGATGCTGATCTCCTCCCTGGCTGCTGCTCTTGTAAATGTCCATCTAAAAATAGTTGAAGGATTTGGGGGTCACAAGGGGGTCCGGGGACAGCATGGATTTGCCAGCATGAAAAATGGCAACACTTTTGCGCTCATAAAACCTATTTATAAGCCAACATCTCAGCTAGCTACCTAAGTTGGGTCACCAACTCCACCAATATGCCCGGCAGTTTGCAATGCAGTGTGCCACGGCGCAGGCGCAAGCGCGTGAGATCGCCACGCAAGATCAGAAGGTAAACGGGAGGAGGTAGAAATGGTAAGGATGGCAGGCAGCAGCAACAGCAGCAGGAGCCCATGGAACCCGGGTCCAGTCCAGTTTGAAGACGGGACCACACACAAATACAGGCACGCGTTCGCTGACAGAATAAAAATTGTTGCGCTTGTGTTTAACGCGCGAACGCGGCGATATCGCAGCAACAGCAACAGCAACGGCAACGGCAGCATCCTACCTTGTTTCAAACTGGCTCCCTGGACCACGGTGGCTCAGGTTAAAGTGGCAGCAGAGAGATGAGATGATACACTTGTAGAAAATTCAAGAAGATCAAGGGGATACCTAAAGACTAAATAGTTCAAAAGGTGTAAGTTAAGAATAAATTAACTTTTAGGTATTTTAAAATAAAAATCGAAGCTAGAACTATCACATAATTAGAGGATTTCCTAATAAAATAACTTTACTTTGAAAATAAAAAACAGATTAGTTTTTTTCCTTGATTTAAAAAGCTGAATGAAAATGCAAGGCGCGTTGATTTTTTGACAAGTGTAAGGGCAGGGCAGGCAGGCAGCCGGGGCATTGTCGGCTTGCTTAGCTATCACTGAACGATTATCGTGCATTTTAAAATTCTTACGAGTTTTGTGCTGCTGATGCCGATGCTGCTCAGCCTTTGCCTTGCTTTTGCCTTTTATATTGCCCTTTTCTCTGCTGCTCTTTGTTGTGGTTGCTGGGCCAGATTGAAATCACGCATGGGAACCAAGCGCCTTGGCTTTGTCTTGTCTGCAGCAGACTGCAAAAAAAAAAAAAAAAATAAAAAATAAAAGAGAACACAAAAAATTGCGGCATTCTCATCAACAAATTAGGAGTAGGAACTCATGGGGGGGCTTGCTTTAAACACGGTTTTATTAATCATTCTTTTAAATAGTAATTTGTATTTATCAATTTGTTAATTGCATAGTTTACATAGTAGTAACTCTTCATAGCAAATGCCTATATAGAAACTCCTGCTGTCCAGTCGATTATTGCCAACACTTAGGTTCGTAAATATATAGAGGTGTGTATATTCGGATTGAGGCAGATGCATTTTGTTGCTTTTGTGGTCGCCTTGGACAAACATTTGTTCACGATTTCGAAATACATAACTAAATTGCTACACAATTTTTGCTTTGATAATAATTTGATAATGCTATCATAGGTAATATGTTTTATATATATATATCTATATAAATATTCAAATATTTTTATCCATATCCTCTGTGGGCATAACTAGTTAAATAATTGATTTGTTAAGGTTGCATTGTCTACAATGTGGAAGGGTGTTCTTTTTTTGAGTCGGAGTCTATTGTTTCTAGCTTTGTCATTTGCTTTTCGGTTTGTTCATTTTTCAAACATTACAATACTAATTTTCTTGTTTCGGTCTCTCTCTAAATGTACATATAAATATATTCACTTTTTGACAATAACTTTAGCAATAACACACAACATTTGCCTGGTGAGGCTGGTTAATGGTAATAAAGCCAGTCACTAAGAAACGAACGAAAGGAAAGAGTTATGGAAGCAAATAAAGATCGTTAAGCAAATATGGTGTTTGGTCTTTAAGTTTTATAAGGGGCTCAGGGGATGTTCATACATTAATTTTTACTGCAAGTGATAAAATAAATTGCTATGACCGCATTTCCGCGGCAATTAATCCCCGATAAGATACTTTACAAGTCAAGAGCTATATGACTGCTGGTCAATATCAATTCATCGGTGTTAATATCATTGAGGGTAGACAAAGAGAAGTTACAAATATATAAACTGATCAAGAACTAAAGGAGATTTATCCATGACATGAACCGCAAATCAAGTATAAAATTTTCATAGATATTCTAGATAGGTAAATATATATATATTTGTCATATTACCTATAGCCTAGGCTAGTTGTAAGTTAACTTATGAAGAGCTGTCGAAAATGTTCGAGTCTAGTTCAGCGTTTATCTCTAGTAAAAGTTTCAAATTCTGCTTATTTCATTTTAGGTCTTGACACACATTTGTAGTATTCTAGAAAAAAAATAATTTCATTTCATTTCATAATTTAATATTGATTCCACCTAGTTCAACGTGGTGTTCCTTCACTTATTGTGTGTGTGTCTGTGTGGGCTTGGTTCGCACAAAATTGCATAAATCTATTTGATTCATATTTGTTTGTAGACAAGTTTAAAATACTAGACAGTACTTTCGGTTGCAAGTTGCTCGGTCTCTGCGATTTCATCGTTAAAATTCCTGTTCGGTGTTCAGAGTTGTCATGTTTTCATTTGTTTTGTTTTTGGTTGCTATTCTTGTTAAACCTTTAGTTACACAGTTTTCTATAATTTGTTAATTTATTACGAATTAACTAGTTGAAACAGTTGGTAGCAAACATTTATTCGTTTTGTTCTAGTTCTAGAGAAGTAAATTGCCTTTGCCTTTGTTATTCATTTGTGGTTTCTTCGTTTTAATTTTTTTTTTTGTTTGATAACCCTATAAGCTAGCTAGTAATTCAATTTGATATTTTAGACATTTAGTTTCTTGATTTTTCATTACGATTTTGATGTTTCTGGTCTACGTGTACATGACAATTTGTTTCCTTTTTAATATTCTTTGTGTGTCCATATATTTTCTTTCAACTATTATGGGTCACCTCCTTGCCTTTTGTTTTCTAAATGGAGCTGGAGCTTTACAACATATACATTTTTGTTTGTTGTCATTTGTTCTTGTACATAAAGTCAAGTTGGTTTACAATTTGATTTGTTTTATTGCTGTTTGCTGCCGCGAGCTTGCATTCATATATATAAATATTTTGTGTTTTTTTTTTGTTCTTTTTTTTTTGTTTTTTATATATTTCTGGATCACATATTCAAGTAGTTTCAAAATCACATAAAAATCACTCTTACAGTAGCGTATACAAAATACATGTGTCATCTATAAATATATATGTATGTAACGTACATATACTTTTCGATCTGGTTTCTGATTTGATTCCTCACAGTTGAGAGATGGCGTGAAATGGATTTCTTGACATGTTGTAAAATTGCTTTGCATTGGTTGGTTTTGGATTGAGGTTGGCAAACCCGTAAGTCGATAGATAGATAGATAGATATATCCCATGTATATATTCGTAGAGATTTAAAAAGTAAATTAGCAAATCTTTAAACTGTGCCCGGTCGATGAGAGTCAAGGATTATCTGAGAGTTTAGTTTTGGTATTAAACACACCGCATACCATATCTGCGACTCAACAGCTCCATTATAAAACCAATTTACTTATTATTTGTTCTTGTGATTTTTAGTTTTTTTTTTTTTTTGTAGCTTTTGTTTTTGGGTTTTGTGTACACTTTTGTCATAAACTATTAAAGCATTTATAAGTTAACACACATTTGTTATTGTTATGTTTATTAATTTGTATTTCTTGATGATTTGGCTTCTACAAAACACAGTACAAACACACACAGAGATAAAAGCCTTTGCCTTGCGCTTTCCTAGTTAGCTTTGTAATAATATATATATTTTTTTTTGTATTATTTTTTTGAACTTTTTTTTAGTGTTGCTTTTGTTTTCAATAAATGCCTAAGCTGTTTCATTTTCAATACATTCCAAAAACATGTTCATCAATTTAACTCAACTAGCTAACAACACGTTTCAGTTTCAAACAACATTGTCCACAACTACCAATTGATTACGTTTGATAACTTTATTTTTGCAGAAAAAAATACATTGGCTTTTGAAGACGGTTTCTTTTTTACATTAACTCTGGTTAACATTTTTCATTAAACTCTGTTCATTTCGCTGTATCGAGTTACCTTTATTGTTTATGCTTTCTACATCACACTCATCGAATCTGCATTCAAATTTTCCATAAATATATTTTCATATATATATCTATTCATATTCGTTCTTGTACCATCAGCCAAATGCTTGATTTCATATATCTTAAATATTACGTTCTGACATTGACAATTCTTTTTTTTTCATTCTTAATTTTTTTGCTTTTACTAAATTGGAAGCGTCCAGTTGAGACTATGAAAGTAAAATGAAAACTGAAGTCAGCTGCAAAGTAAGTACTTAAAGCACTATATAAATCACAAAATAACCTAATAGAGTATATAAGTAAGTTTGTAATTTTGTGTCTGGCTATTGGCATTGGTTTACAGAGGATTCACCAGCCGAAGCCCAAATAAAAGCAAAGTGTCTTAATAGTGTTTTCGGAAAACAAAATGTACTCTCTCGTTTCATTTAAACGTCTATAATTACTTTTGTGCAGTTTGGAAAATCAAGCAGAATAATTATCTGTCAGTTACATAGATTTTATGACGCTTGTCTTGGCTTTCAGTTGTAGTTTGCTTTCACAAGAAACACATACATATAAAATACAGTTTGAAAATCGGCTTATATAAAATCACTGGTGGTTTTTGTTTGTTTGTTTGTGGTTGTTTGCTGCTCTTATATGCGACAATACATTGTTAAAGATTATTAACTTGTTCAATTTGTTGGTTTCTATAAATTTGTTAATAGTCAATTGCTAAAAGTGTCTAGAAAAATTAATATATTATATATTTATCATATCCTCCAACCAATTACATTATGTAATGGCTTAGTTCTCATAATTCCTTAAGTAATACTAGTGAAAAGTACAATATGACTGAAAGTGTAGCATATTTCAATACAAATATAGAGATACACAAAATATATTAGTGATTAAAAAAAATAAATGTGAGATATTGCAAATTCGTGCAGTTGATTAGATGTAAACACAAGATATATATATATGCCTAAACACAGAAAATATTTTAAACAAAATTAAAAGATTTGGTTACATAAAAGTAGAGTAAAAAATCAAATTTAAAACATTTTTCCTGTATTCGTTTTTGTGAAAAAAATAAACAAATATAAAACTTTATACTTATTTGTTTAGAGCTGCTATCTAATTCAATTAATAGTTTGTGCCTAGTAATTGCTAATATTCATGACGATAATTTGCATAATTTGCATAGATTGGAAATATAAATTATATATTCTTTGCCACATGATCACACATGGGTGGCATGTGGCATCTCCTAATCGATCAAAAGTTTCAACGTTTTGCTTATGACTAAAGTTTGCTTTGTGAGTAGTACCACATTGTCATGCTGTTCGCGTTTTTGATCCCCAAAGATCCATCTGCATTTCGAATATAAATCTCCTTTCATATCCGATTTTCAGCCAAAGGGCCACTTGTGGTCCTGTTGCTGATAAAACATGTTCTAGGTATGGGTTGTTATCACCGGCACCTGACAGTAGGGACACTCGGTGACCGAGCCAGCGCACGTATTGCAGATGGACAGGTGATTGCACGGCTCGAGAGTAACCGTACGATTGTTTTCCTCGCACTTCATACATTTCTTGGCGTTCTCTAAATATAATACTTTGTCGACCTCCTCTAAGTCGGTGCGCAGCTTTGACTATGAAATGAAGCACGGTAAACGAAATTCAAGTGTAAACTAATTTTACAAACTTACCTGCAATTGCTTTAATTTCTGTATGGACAAGTCCCGCAGCTCTGCCGGCAAGTTCAGCTGTATTTGGGCCAGATCATAGCGCTCCTTCCATTCCTGTGCCTCCTCTTTGGCTTTGTCGCGATGTAGTTCAGCGATCTTCAGCTTGCAAACTATGTCCTCGTAGCGTATGTTCATCTTGTGGATCTGAGCATTCTTTGTAAGCAACTCGTTGGTGATGCGTCCTAGGTCAGTGTTATTTTGCGACTGCAGAGATTGCAGACTGAACGCATTCTTGGCCGTATTCAGAGTGTTCTCAAACAGACTATTTCCCACCGAGCTGCTGTTGATATCATCGCGTATAGTATTCAATTCGGATATCCTGACCGAAGGACTGATTGATAAGCCATCGCCAAAACCGGGCGATATAATGCGAGATGGAAAGAAAAGACTGCTATCGTTCTGGGTGGCCGAAAGTGAATTGCTGAGCTTGTTCGAGCCGCCGTAGTTGAAGGCGTCCACGTTGAAGAGATTGGCATGGTTGGTGGGGCTGTAGGTGAGCGAGTTGCTGGGAATGTTGACGGCGAAGCCACCTGAGTTGAAATCTATGCAAATGAAATTAGTATTGGCATTAGCGATTAGTTGGTACACGAGGATAGTTGATGACTTACCGTTAATTGAGTTACTTAGAGTCGTATTAGGAATGTTAATTGGCGCCGAGGAACGTGTTAATAAGCTAGTATTGGCCAGACTCGCCGACAATGAGTTCTCGCGCGGATCGTCCAGTGAGCAAGCTGCTTGCAAAGAGTGAAGACAAATAAATAATTAAGTTTCAAGTTAGGCAAGTGGGGCAGGGCACAAGGCAAGGTGTTTGCTGTCTTAGCGCTGACATTTTATTGTCCACAACCAACATTAGGAGTAAGTGAATTCTGGTGCTTAACTTAGGTGTACACGCATGTCAGGACTCTCGGATACTCACAACGACTGTCCAGGAGTTGTGAGAAACTTAAAAATTTGCTGGAATTTGTTGTGTTTTCCAAAGCATCTACCAACATTTTATTGGTACTATTACCATCAATGCTCAATAACTACGAAGAGAACAAAAACGAGAAGAAAAGATCCAGGATCGCAATGAGAGCAGGCCAGAGGATTGTATGGTTTGGTGAAGGGGTCTTAAGCAGTTAGCAGGATTAGAGCGACGAACGATGTGTGGTAGTATGTTTGGTATTATTAGGAAATGCTCATCGATGGCTCGAATTTAGATGTGTGTTATTGGTTCGGTAATACGTACATTATCGCCCCTTTGGAACGCATCCTGAGCCTTTAGGTCAGGCAAGGCATTGGAAAAAAGCTCACTCAGGGATACATCGTGATCACGCATCTTCTCCTCGGCAAATGAGCCAACTTTATTTGAATTGGGAATGGTAACATGAGCAAACAACACCGAGCAGCAAGCGAACATTGATTGATGCATTGATTTTTAAAGGGTTCATTATGTTTACAGTAGTTTGAAACAGATTTGCAGGTTGATTGATGAGGCGAGTAAGAAACAAACATAGAGTTAAAACAGAAAGATCATAACTTGGCCCTACACAATTCCCTACGGCAACTGGTTGTGGAGCACAGCGCTGAAAGCTGGGGATTAGCGATTACTGTAGAGACTCTTCTGTACTTACGTTCCACATGGGCAAAGGCGCAGAAAACGCTGCGCGGACAGTAGCCAGCCTGTTGTACATCGTTGCACTTGGTCGACTTGTAGATCTCCGGATGAAACTGCTGCTCGGTGCGTGTGTGGCAGTATTGGCAGTTGTCCCCGGCCTCGCAGTTACCCGGTTCTCCCCATTCCTCGCCGTGCTTCACATTGGGGCAAGGAGTCGATCTGGAAGGGAGGTTAAGACTTGGTAACATCTGGCACCTTGTTGTTCTTTTGGAAGCATCTTACCTGTACTTGTACTTCCTGGGCGAGCGACGCTTGTCCTTACTATTGTGGTACTGTGGACAAGCATATCCTTGACGGCACAAACGCGGTGGGCGCTTGCATGGCTCTGTCTTGTAGTTGGCCAGCACATAGTTGGTGTCCTGCCACTTCGGGTCCTCGTTCATCAGATTGCGCTCTTTATCCAGGGCATTCAGAGCATTAGTACTGTCCAGGGTAGTCTCTGCGTTTTGCAGAGTCTCCAGCTCTTTGATGTCATAAACCGGTGGGCGCTGGTCCTGCATGCCGTGGGCAAAAGCGCAGTGTAGTCCGTTCTTGACGCAGTATCCTCGACTATCGGTGTCGTGGACGCACATGCATGTCTTGTAGTAGCGCAAATGATAGCGTCTTTCGGTGTCCCCAGCAGTGCGGTGTAAAAAAGGGCATCTAAATAAAGAAAGGATGGGGGTTTAGTGACGTCAAAGCAGGCTGTAACTATAAACTACAGCTTTAAAGTCGACTATGAGATACCCTAGACGACTTTTGTATGCGATTTCCATCTGCACTAGAAACAGATTCTTTTCTTTTGATGTTATAGATTTAAAGTTATTTTATAAAATATGTAGTTTATTTTCAAAAAATTCTGCGTTGAGTCACTTTTGTACTTTATAGAACTAAATTTGGAATCAATACATATGCACATGACGCTCTTTTGCATAAAACGATATTACCCTTTCTACCCTGTAAGTAACGAGACTACAAAAATAAATAGATAGAATAGGGGTCAGAGGTCGGGCCTTGAGTCTGGGTCATAAACTCCGACTGTGTTGGTATTGTTGTTGTCGCTATATCGTGCAGAACGTAATTGCGTATTACTTTTAGCCCGTTCTTGCGCTTCTTAAAGCTTTTCTCCAAAGCTCGTCAGGCACAATAACTGTACATTTCGAAGCTGCCGGGGGAAAAATCAAAATAAACGAAGAAGAAAACACGCAAAAGCGAAACGCAATAAAAACAATGACGCACACACTTGTAGATGTGAGCCTATGTGTGTGTATGTATACGACAAAAGAGCAACAACCACCACCACCACCACAACGGCAAAACGGATGCTGATAAGAATTTGCTAGCTGGAATCACTTTCACTTTTGCACGGTGGTGGCCTCGCCTATACACCCAAACACACCTCCCCACACCCACACCAACATACGCATATACAATTTCACTTTTAGCTTTCCAGACGACGCCGAGCCCCCGCACACACCCGCACCGTAGTTTTTGTTTGTAAACACGAAGACAAGAGATACACACACATCGCGAAGGAACGAGAGCGTAAAGAGGAAACGAAAAAATACTACGTCGTTCGCTATTGCTGTCTCATCTTCATCCTCCATGGATTTCATCAGGAATTGGGAATACAAGATTTCAAGATCTTTGTGAATATATACTCACTCATCTCCTTCGGGACATATTCCAGTGGTTTCATCATATTTGGTGCAATAATTATCAGCGCTATAGTTGAAAGTTCCATCGCGTTTTCGCACTGGGCGACGCCGACGCTGGTTTTGAAAATGCCAATTGAAACAGACGAAGGGGCGATGTTGGTTGCACTTGTGCTGCAAAAAGGACAGGCACTGCTCCACGCGGAACTCCTTCAGGTAGCTGAAATTGTGGCGGCAAAAGTTGTGGTTCACTTTGTATATTCTAAGCACTTATTTTCAAGTATTTACGTGTAGTGATTGGGTTTTTCCTGCTGCGAGGAAAGCAGCAGCTTGTTCGTTTCGTTTGCCAACATCGTTTAGTGAGGCCAGATAGTGATGTTGCTTTCCCGCATGCCCTCAACGACCCATGGATTTGGGGGAGGGGATATGTTATCGATATTGTGATAGCAATGACTTTATTTTTTAATTTTAGTTGCACTTTTAGCAAGATGTTATATTTTTAAATAAGGTGTTAAAAATTGCCTGCTTACGTTAGGTATGCATATATTGACTATCGCCACTTTTGGGAACTAAGAGCATTGTTTAGCTAAGACTCGCACCAATATGGTCTAATTTGGCGCGAGAATTTGAATGAATAACAAAAAAATGTTTCGAACTTCTAAAAAACTGTATCAATAAAAATTAAACATTATATTAATTGTGTTTATACTTAATATATTTTAAATTTTGATCGATCAAAACAAATACTTAAAAATCATAAAAAAAAAAAAAAAAAAAAAATTAAGAAAATGCAAATCTTTGAATCTAGAATAAAATAAAAAAAATTCTAGTTAATTATAAGTAAGTCATTAGTCAAATGGTATGGGTATATAGGTATTGATTTTATCCGTCTGACGCTGCGAAATGCACTCGCTTATCCAGACAATGTTGCGGCACTCTAGGTGCTTGAGTTTGATGAAGGAGTAGAAGATTCCAAAGTGGAACTGCTGCAGAAAGGCATGGACATTCTTCTTAGCCTCCAACATAAGGAAGCGGTCTTCTAATGTGATTATTCCGTCGGTGTCCCGCTCGAAATTGTCAAACATTCTGCCATATCCCTCGTACAAATTGCATAACTCCCGAATTTTATCCCGTTCATTCAAAGTGGACATGGTGTCTAAGGCCGCCTTGGACAAAAAGCCACAGGAGGGGAACATCTTTAGTCGATTCTTTGGACTGGTTAAGGCGAAATTAGTTAATTTTTCTTTGCAAATTAGAAGAAAAGAAACCCACCTGATATCACTGCCGATTGCATTCATCGCTATAGTGATAGCCCGACGATCCGCCTCGAAGGACAAAAGTTTTGACATCACGTCGGCTGTATTACCTCCTAGCTTATTGCAATAGGCATAGAAGTTCTCCAGATAAGCCTTGTATAGGGTGGCCCGTATAATCTCCACGTCGATGGAGCGCAGTGCCTCCAAGGGCAGATCGGGTGGAACAAACTGAGCAATTGGCGTATCTATAAGCACGGCGTCGAAAAGTTCCGAAGAGTTTGTGGCCACTTCGATGGCTCCCAGTTGGTCGAAGAATCCCAACGGATGACACATACTCAACAAACGTTTCATGGATCGATGGTTATTGAGGCCAGCGACCAGCAGGGCCACGTTATCTATCATAAAGGGATATCGAAGGTATTCCATAAATGTGGTTAGTGGTTCCGTTGAATGACTGCGTATATAATAGTACTGCTGTAGCAGTCTATCCCTCAGGCACTTATCGATCACCTCCACAGACGGCTTCGAACTGTCACTTCCAAAGATGACGCCATAGTCCGTACCCTGTATGCTTATCATCACATCCTCAAGAGAATCGCATTGGGTGAGGTTCAAATAGTCGGAGTGCTTCAGCATTCCGTTCTTAAAGCCCCGCGTTATGGCCTCTAGATAGCCCCATTCAGCGTTGTAGAACATTGACATATTTTATTTTTTGTTATTTAGAGTTATTACTTATAGGAGTTCACATAAGTCAACGAAGAATGAAAGATATGTCTCAGAATATATGTTTTGGAATCGGAATTGAAGCAAAATTGAAAGCAAGTTTAATGCAAAGATACATAGCTTGGTACTAAAATATAATTTATATAAAACGAAATCTTCATTTGAATTTCAAATTACGCCATCTGGTAGATTGCCCTATAGAGGTTCAACTTAAGTCCGCTAGATGGCTTAACTGCATACATAGGGCTGCCATTTGTTTATCCTTTTGACGATGTGGCAGCTTCCTAACCGGTTAAAACAAACTTAAATTTGAATTCGAATTTATGTTCTGTTGATTAATTTTTTTCTTATTTAATAGCCTGAAATATCTTTGGAGATACATAAGTTCAAGCTAATGACTTAGGCTAAGATTTATTAATATTACTAATGATCACACAGTTGCATTTTTATCACTCATTCTAGGAATTCCTGCACATGCGCCTGGCGAGATGCTGGAGGGGATTTACCTGTTGCTCTTGGCCACTTGTTTACTAGCTGTCCAGTGTTTGTTTATTCAGTCAACTAGCTGCGCTCGAGCCAACAGCATTCTTACTTACAAGTTTATTACAATATATTTTGGCCTTTCATCTCAAACAAATAAACATGTGAAATTTCACGTTGTGACTTTGCCTTTAATATTGCGCCGCTTTTGGCATCACCTTGTTAGCCTGAGCCGCGTGTGCATCGCATAAATGTGGCAGTAAAACGACAATTATTATTCCGCCAAGCCATTTAATTGCCCATCAGAGGGGTGTCAATGCGGACAGAGACAAATCCTCACGTTCGGTTATCATCAAACTAAGCTAATTTCGCCTGGCAGATGAATAATGGAAATGTCACATTTGATCTTTGGTGTTAGGTTGTGAAGGTACAAGGGAAAACTATGACTTTTATGGTAAGAAATGTATAGAATGTGGAATGTTATTTAATAATTATTAATGTGGTAAAGTGTATTATAAAATAATAATAACATTTTGGATGAACTAATAGATTCTCAGGGGTATAACTTAGCTTAGCCTTAGCTATTAAGGTGCTTTTATCACATTAAGATTTGATTGGCAAGTTCTTAAAAATATAAATTTCTTTCCTCTGCCCAGATGTTTCATTTCTTAAATTAAACTTTTGTGTGCTTTACGGGGTCAAATACTTCTAGTGAATTTCGAAATTTTCAATTGATTTTCAGGTCAATGGAAAATGCTTAAGTCACGAGTGCCACCTGTTACTTTCGGGGCATATACTTAGACAGCCAAGTCAACTGGCAGGAATCAGCCGATATGGGCAATAAATTAGATCACATTATATAGTTATTTATAATTCTGGCACTTGTCATGTCAGGGGCTCGTCACTTTTGGTAAACTTTCCATGCGAAAAGGCTTAGGCTGCGGTCGTTCTTTGTCCACCAACTGATATCCCTGGACAAATGCCCACCCAAATTTTTAGATGGACAAGTGACAGCTGAAATGCGTTTCCAACACATACAACTTTCAGCCGAAACAGAAATCATTGTGTGGGAAGTGTTTTTCTTTTTCCTTTGCATTGGCGAAAACATTTCCACGGAAGCTGAGGGGTAAATACATTTCTCGGATTGATGATGATGAATGGAGGAAGTGTTTGGATAAAAATAGAATCATTGTTGGATAAGAAAGTATTGAGATTTCATTGGTATGTTAAATAATTGAGTAGAAGATAATTAGAGGGACAACTTTCCTCCATCGCGACTGTTCTTAGCCGTGGCTGTTTTTGAGTAGATAGCCCTGTAAATATAGTAGCCAACAGCTGCATGAACGGCAACGACTGTGCAGATGGCCGAAATGATGTCCGCATCAATGTGTTCGAAACTCTTCAGTACCACAAACTTCAAAGCAAAGAAGGTGGCTATGGGGAAGACTATGATCAGGAAGCAATAGGACATCAGCAGTAGGACAATAAACACAGGGCCATGTATCTGGATTTGTGGTGGCACTTCAACCTCCCACTCCGACCAAACCTCCAACTGATCCATGCGCGAAAACTCCTGTATGAAGATTCGGTGTAATATATATCCTGTGATCAGGACATGCATCACTATCACTGTAGCCACGCCAGATCCAACTGCCACATTGGTATCACTGTTCCCGTAAAGCGGTTCCATAACCAAGAACTTAAAGCCGCTGAAGATCACCATGGGAAAGAAGAGGAAAATGGTCAGGCAGAGCAGCAGCTGCTGCATTCGTCCTAGGATATACTGGGCTCGTAATTTCTGTTGAACAATGATGAAGGTTTAGTACTGGTTAATGGCTACTCTTTCAATCTGCTGACCTTGACATTTGAGTCCCTTTCCGCTATGTTTAAGTCCGTTGAGTAGTGAGGATCAGTCGAAGGACTGACCTCCGCTCTATTAGGATATACCTTGCGAAGCTTGGCAAACATCTTAGTTTGGCTTTATTTCATTAAGGAAAGCTTAAGCAAAGCCTACTTTAAAAGAGTTTCTTCGAGGTTATAAAGATGTGACCAGGTTTTAAAATATACCAAATATAGTTCCCGAAGACTATAGTATTTAGGGATTCCCATAGATTATAAGTATTTATTACAAAGATAATATATATAAAAATATATATATAAAATTCCCACATTCGTTTATATTTAAACTTTATTTAGCCTAATTATTTCCCATAAAACTTGGCATACCAAAACACCGTTTAAGCTGTGTCATTTAAGGGGCATTAAGGAATCAGCAAACATCCAATTTTAGCCTAAAATAAAGATTGCCACCATGCGAGGCAGAAATATCTGGTCGCATGACCGCGCGACAAGACAATATAGTAATTAGCCTTAACTTAACCACCGCTCAGTAGCCAGAAAAAGAACTTCTGCAGATTAGATAGTCGTAATTAGCCAGACGAAGGAGTCCGTGAGAGCAGAGTACAGTCTTTTCCACCTGACCGATAAAGTTCTCAAATCAACGTCGTGATTTTTATGGACACACTCGACTCAAACACCGCGCCCTCGATTTATGGCCAAAAGATTATTTCTAGGTCAGCTGACTGCGAGGGGTGCGGGTGTTCCCCCAATCGAAATCATGAGTAAATTCGCTTGCAATTCATAAATTTTGCCCACTACAAATCAAGTGTCGGAATTTCTATTTCTTTTTCTATCATTAATGATTTTGTTGTCAAATTTTCATAAATTATTTTCCATATATTATTAAATTTATTTTAAAAGATGAGCAAAGTTGGTGGTCAATCAAATTGATATACTTTAAGTACAGTAAGCACTCAAAGTAGTTTTCCTTAAGCATCAATTTCCTGTAAAATTCCACTTAAAGAAATTACTCATTAGAAGAGCATTTGAGTGCATAAACATTTAATGAGCATATAGATTAGCCTAGATTACCATACCTGAACTTCGTTTTAAATTTATAATCTTATCTTTATGTTCCTTCATATTACTCATACGCAACGTTGGCCCATTGATTTGAATGAAGAGCAGACTTACTAAAAATAAAGCAATAATATTTATCAAAAGGGGACTTTTGGGCCTTGGGCTTATCCAAAATTCACTTGACTTCCCTGTGAATCATTTGAGGTTTTTACAATCCGTTGTTATCAGTCTCAAGCAGCTAAATTTGTTCTAGATCCTAAAAATATTCCTTCAGACGATAAATAAGACGCCATATTTGTGTTTTGGTAATTTGTATGGTTATCCGATCAGCTTGTTCCCATGGCGTTGCCAAGGGCTAGCACGGCATACTAAAATAGATTGCTCAGCTCTTGTCTTGGCCATACTTTATGGTCTGCCAGAGAAACTGGCCACCATCCAAATAGCCAACAGCTGTGATCACCAGGAGGTGGTAAAGGCGTGAAAATAATGAAAATAATGAGAATTATGCCAAGTTCATATATAGGTATCGGGTCAATATACGAAAACACCAAATCGACAGGTTGACAAGTGGGTCTCGGATAGCTCATTAGCGAGTGTGTGGGGCCTGGTGGTCATGCAAATTGCACGATTGCTAATGGTGAAACTATTTGCAATTCAACTCCCGCCGGGTGAATCCTCTTGCCCGGGATCCTTCCGGTTCAATTCAACGATGAGTGTCCTTGAACCGAAGCTGTTTTACTTATTATGCATGTATGCATCGGTTTGCAGCTCACTTGTACGCATATGTGCATGGCAATTATGGTAATTGCCCTGTCTGGGGCATCCGCTTCCCGTTGGCGTCCGTTCGTTTGTTTGCTACCACCTCTAACTAGTCTATACACCCAGTCAACCACCCACCACATCCTGCCTGACCTTGACTGCAGTTTCTTCCCCCACATTTTTTTTTTCTTTAAGCAGCCACCAGGACTTGCACTAACCTTGACAAACACGTTGACCGTCGCTTGAGAGTTGACCAAGTTTTATTGGTTTCCTTTGAGTGCAGCGGAAAGTTTTTCCCACATATTGAAGCGTGGCAGTGGGCAGGGGATTCCTATTCTTTGTGGCCATCGATTTCCAATTAAAAGTACCTCTTCTTCGAAGTACCTCTGGAAGTGTCTTGAATGCTGTGCTCACTGTTGATACTGTAATTCAGTTGTTGGGGCTCCATTAAGCATTATCCGATTTGCATACAAGGGAATTGTTTAGCTAGGGGATTTAAAGGGATTTTAAAATCCGCATCCATCAGCCAGGAGTGGCGGTCAATGCTCTCTCTTTCTCTCTATCTCTCTCTCTCTCTCTTTGGTATCAAATGTATCCTTCGGATGTTGCGGCAGGTCGGTTACATCAATTTCGGGCAATCAACATAAATTTATTGCCACTCTGAGAGCGCTCAACTTTGAACCGAATTTCGGCTCTAAACTATTTGGTTGACCTCTCTGCTTCTGACCCTGGAAAATCTCTCAGCTTTCTTGGATAGAAATAACGGTCAACAGACGACAGAGCTCGAAATAACTTTGGGTGACATGTGATGGATGATTGCTTGTCCTCACTTTGATTGCTATTGTCCTCCGTCCGGGGTCAAAGTGGGCCGTAAAACAACAGGATGGCCCTCCTAATGAGCGTGTTAATGAGCTGCTGGATAAGATAATAGAAATTTCTGCCGGGTTCAACTTCCTTGCAGTGTCAGCTGAGCACATCAAATAATACGGCCATAAATAAGAGAAACTAACTTAATTAAATGTACTAGGGGATAATGTATAGGTAGGCATTAAAACTAGTTCCAATAAGAAGATAATAAATAAAGGTAAAGCTTTTACTTTTCCACAGACTAAAAGACATTTTATCTATATTTATTATTAAATATTTTAGTAGATAAACAAATAAAGAGGAAATTACGTAGATTGCTGGTATGAATATGCTTTACTTTTGTTTAAGATACAATATTTGATATTTGCTTATTAGGGAAACATATATCCTGTCTAATAGAACGCTCTTCTAGATAACCCAATCACAATCCAAAGTCTAGACCTGATCAAACACTTCTAGTTCAGCGCACATCATATTGTTGGTCAGGTGTGGCCTGACTATATAAATTTCTGGAAGCCCATTTTGGCCAAGATAAGTCAATGTCAACTGTCGTAAATTTGTTTCTGCACTTGTTGCTAATATTTGCGCACGAATCTGTCAACAGAAAATCGCGCTGAGTCAACAGTAGTCATGCGCCAGCTAAAGATCCAGATTCAGATACAGATACAGGTAAAGCTACAGATACTGCTCCAGATATATATACATATACATATTTGTAAACAGATAGGGGTGTGACAGTCGCGAGTCTGAATTTATGGATAGCTTTGTTGACCAGCGTGACAGGGGAGCCATCAGATGTCTCCCGGATTCTTACGACAGTTTGCCATAAGCCAAAGCCAAAGCACAGTCGATGTCATAATCTTTCCGGCATTTCCTGAGTTTAACCCACAATTTTTCTTATAGCAAATATTATCCATTTGTGTTTAAGCTAGTGTAAAATAGACTAACCAATAGTAAATTTTTTGCATATTTATCGTCATAAAACTGGGCTAAGACCTTAATTCCACGGGTTGATGGCTCATTAACATTAAAGTGACCGCTAAGTCACAAGGGGAAATTGCACACTCCAGATAAGTTTGGATTAGGGGCTTTTGGCTTGTGGCTAGCAAACTAATTAGGGACAGTTCGACGCCTTACTGGCCATTAACGTCACACAATATCAGCTGATATCGGCAGGAAAGACTTGAGATTCGGTTAGTACTTGGAAGTACTAAACGAAAGGCAATAAACGAAAGTAACTTAGGGTTGAGTTTGTAATCACTTAAGTTACTTTGTCTCTATAATTGCTAATATTATCTGATAAGGTTATTACTTTGTGATCTAACTATTAAATTGGTAATTTGTTAGTCTGTAACTGAAGTAATTTTCTTTATATTTCTTAAAATTTATATTTCGATGGACTATGAAAAAGGTTACCTAAAAATAATAATTGCGGGTCATATTTTTATGTCAGAAGCCATTGCCTACTTCAAGGCGGCACAATAGGTATATCGATTGAAAAAACTTTATGCTTAAAATAACTACCAATATGATGTTTCAAATGAGAAAATTGAATGAGCTAACAAAGATAGATCACTTCTGATTTATAACCAAAACAAAATAAACATAAAACTTATCAGAATTCTTGCAGGCAATTAATTTTAATGGCTCTGCCTTTTATTTGGCCAATAAATCTTTTGGACTCTTGAGCATGGAAAATGTCTTCTATAAATGAAAACTATTTATATACATTTAGTTATTCCCAGTCGAGGTGAGCCTTGTGTTCTTGCCTTGCAGCTGCGGCACGTTCCGAGTACAGAAGGATTTTCTTTGCGGGGTCCAAATGCATCCTAGGTCACTTCTGGCCAGGTTGGCATGCAAATGGCGGTATGTTTGTTGACTTGTTGGCCCACTTTACTACTGCACAGTGTCATGCAATGTTGGGTTCAATGGCCGAGGACGGAGGTCATCGAAGAACGTCAGCAGGATGACCCTTCCTCCTTCTCCTTAACCATGCTGGGCACGCAATGACATTGACATGCGTTGCCTTAGCAGGACTCTCGGTCTGCGGTTAAGTTCTCCTATGAACCAACCTCCGTAATCAAGCAGATCCGCTGTACGTGCCCGTACTTATTTATTGGCCAGTGGCACTTGTTAGCCAAGGCCTGAATTCACCTGCCAGTTTGGCTAAAAATAGCCACGAATAGTCCTTGCAACTGGGTCGTCGAAAGTATGCAACACTTGGCCATTAAAATGAAATTATAGAACGCAGGAGTTACAAGTTACATGGAAATCACGAGGCTCGTGCCAGGGGATTACTTTAAAAATCGAAGGACTAAGAGGATTCTCCTGCTCTGGCTTATATTACCCTCAAGCACAGCCACGTGTTCCATCCACGTGTGTCTGTCCTTGCCCCAGCTCATGCAAATAATTCAATCTAGCTGATGGCTTCGTTT